ACGTGTGCTCTTCCGATCTATATGCGTGCCATGCTGTCGAACGCGCACTAATTATTAATTACACTATGCGTATTATTGCTAAAGATGCACTCACTGCATATTTGTGCACTGCCGAATGTACGTGCTGCCGAACGCGCACTTAATATGCGTACTCTCCGAATGCTTGATTGATAGAGTTCGATAATTTGTAATTAAAGCTCGCGGCGCCGGAGCGCGCCATGCAGTACCATCCACACGCTGCGCCAATTCCCTACTGCTGAGCGCCCCGCGCCCCGTCAGCGCGCCACGGCCGTCGAGCCGCCGAGCACGGCCTCCCCACGCGCATGCGCGCGCTACGCGCCTCGCCGCTCGCCGCGATGTTAATTCAATTATATGGAATTTTGAAGGAATAATTACACCAATATTAAGCATATTGTATATTGTTCTGTGTGCTCTCCGGAAATAACGACAATACTGTAGAAGCAGAGACTCACACATAACTTATTACATATGTATGTATAATCAGAGACTGGTATAATACACGATTAGCACGGACACGAACCACGTTCTAATACTATGATTTGATCGACAAAGTTATAAGATAGACGTGGTACATACGTAGTTCCTTTTTTGAAAACGTGGACGTGGTCGCTAGTGTACGTGGGAGATCGCTGATGCCACCCAAAAAGCCAGCGTGGCCTCTCTCACGTTTCTCTCTGACATATATGAAATTATTTAATGATAAAAGTATAATATAAATATTTGGACGGATAAAATACCTTATATTAACATTATTACATTTTTAGCAGAATTTCTATTGGATATTTCATTGAGTAAAATATATAATGTAAGTATGCTTTTCTCTTTGGACATCTTTTGCATGTAAAGCAACCTTTACGGCACTGGATAGGAAAGAATGAGAGAGAGTGAGAGAGAGACAGAGAGAAACCTCTCGAATTTGCTATCAAATGCTATGGCGGCTATGGCTATCAAGAGCACAAATCATAACTTGTCAAGTGCGGCTTGAGTTTTAACTAGAACTTGAATAATTAATATTTTTCTATATTTTTCATCTTGAACATCAAAATGATGCCGAGAAAGATATGTATAACATCGGAAAATTGAGAAAATCTGAAGATTTCTCAATTATTTATTAATATTAGAAGTTTAGCTGAACTAACCTATAAAATGGACAAAACTCATCAGTCCTGGAAAGAAATGGGTATCACAGATCCCAAGGAACGGATCAAGGCTCTTACGGAGAATGCCTCGAAAGTAGTAATTGATCCGAATATTGCGCCTAAAAGGTAAAAAATATGTTTAATATATATAATTTATTGTATTGAAATATAAAATCCTACTAGAAAAAACATTATTTCGAAATTTTTAAATTAATAAGAATTAAGAAACAAATATTTGAATACAAGGAATCAGATTAAAATTTGATTGTAAAACAGCTTTAGAATTAGGAAATATCTTTTTGAGGATTATGGCTATTGTCAAAAATATATGCAATTGTTTTACTGCATAAATTCATGTATAATCATAATCTTGTTTAAAATCCTTATTTCTTGGTAAAAATCCCATTAGAAATAGGCAAATGCAGATAGAATATCATGTCAAGTTTATAATCAGATGCGAATAGACATTCAAAATTGTATGTAGAAATGGACAAGATTTGTACTTATGTTTGCTCATAAATGTGTTCCATTTCATTAAGGAATCAATTACAAGCAGTTAGCCTCTCCATCGTCTTTGCATTTACTGTTCTATTAGAAGTTGCAGCACTTTCTGCAACTCTTCAGCTTTTGTCCGTAATTGCGAGGACAAAAAATACATAGTAAAATACATTGTATCGTTTCGAATGGAATTTTTACCAGAATATACATAAATTGATAGAAATATTGTAATAATAATTACCAATATACCAATTATATCAATAATTATATCAATTTCAAAAGCTATTTAATATATTTGTTTAATCCTTTTACCTATTTAATTTTAGATATTATCGCACTGGAGTAGAAATGATCAGATTAGCAAACATGAATATGCAAGATGGCAGTTACGAAAATGCCTTCATACTATATATGAAATTTATAACGTAGGTAATAATTAATAATAACTTGTTACATTGTATATAATGAATGTATTTTTAAATATTGATAAATGTAATTTCAATATTTTCTCTAAAAAAAATACTTATCACTAATTATATATTGTTATATATTTGTTGCTAAATATTTTCCATTGCAACAGACTTTTTGTGGATAAAATAAGGGACCATCCGCAATATGATACTGTATCAGCTAAGGATAGAGCGGTGAATAGGGATGCTTTACGAACAGTGATTCCTAAAGCTGAAAAACTGAAAAAACAGTTATTGGAGCAATATCAAGCAGAATTCGATAAGTATTTAGAGGATTTAAAGGAAAGAGAAAGAATTGAAAAGGAGCGTTTGAGGCAAGAAGAACTTCAAAGGTATTTAATTATCTTGTGTTACAGTAAATGAAATTAATCATTTGTATTAAGAAATTAATTGTATAATACACTACACATTTGTTCAGGCAAAAGGAAGAGGAAAACAGAAGAAATAAAATGGCTGCTCTGGCTGCTGTCAAAGCGGCTAAGGCTGCTATTACTGCAAATGTACCAGTGGAGACAAAACATTTGCCTTCTGTTGCGCCGAAAACTGTGATAAACCTTACGAATGATGATAAAGCATTAAAAATCTCTAAGGATATGTAAGTCTTGTGCTTATAAAAGTATGTTATTATTGAAAGTATGACAAGTACATCTCTGCAATATTTAAGCCTCTGCGCTTGGTAGTTATATTTCATAAGTTTTAATATTAATTTTAGAATTTAATAAAATGCTAAAAAAACATATTCTCTTATGTGTATATAAAATACCTAATACATAAACATATACTAATATACAGGTATATACACACATGGATTGCGATATTTAATATTCTTTTAGAAAAACGCCGACAGTGGATCGTTCTACAAAACCTTCCTTACTGACAAGCAATGGATTATCCTTGCGCGACATTATCCTACCGACCAAATTAATGCACAACTTCCTGACGCTCGCTTTCAGCAATACGACGAGCAATAAAGAAACATGTGGCATTCTAGCTGGACGATTGGAGCGAAATAAGTTGATGGTAACGCATCTATTGATACCGGAACAAACTGGAACCTCAGATTCTTGTACTACACATAACGAAGAAGATATCTTCGATTATCAAGATCAGCATAATCTTATCACTCTCGGTTGGATTCATGTACGTAAGATTTACTTTATATTTTTATTTCTAATTTTATTTTATTGGAAAATTGCTAAGAAATTTGTCTATTTTAAACATAATTATGTTATTTATTATATGTTATAGACACATCCTACGCAAACTGCATTTTTATCAAGTGTAGATCTTCACACGCACTGTGCTTATCAGTTAATGATGGCGGAGGCTATAGCAATAGTTTGTGCGCCGAAATATGATGAGTATGTATGAAAAACTTTTTGTATACATTTTGTATTATTGAATTCTTCAAATAATCGTTTAAATGTTCAGTAATTGAATTGAAATGAATATTTCATTTAATATACTTCCTCTTCAGACTCTTTAAACGTAAATTTTATGATTAAGTTTTTTTTGCCTATGACACGTCCTTCTAATAAATATTATAATATAAAAAACACAAGTAAAAATTATTTTTAATTTAGAATTACTAATTTAAAATTAAATTAGAAACTTATTTTAATATTTACTGTGATTTTTATTATATTTTTTTTACAGAACAGGATTCTTTATCTTAACACCCGATTATGGCTTGGACTTTATTGCAAATTGCAGAGATACAGGATTTCATCCACATCCTACTGAACCACCATTATATACAGTAAATATGTTATGGTTAATTTATTTAATAACATTTTTAACAAAATTTATTAAAATTTGAATGATTATAAATTTAAAAAAGTGGAATATATTGTTGTGAATATATGTTATACAATTATAAAATAAATTATAAATATTAATGATTAATAATTTAAGATCTTGACATAATTAATATTATTCTGGCTTTTATCACGAATACTTATATTACGTATCTTTTCAACTGTTTCAGAAAGCAAGACACTACAAATTGGATGTAATGGCACTTCAAGTTGTGGATTTACGAAGAAAATGATATATCTCAGATAGGAGATAATTATTTTACTGAAAAATATTTTTAATTAAATCTTGGAAAATAGCAATTTACAATAAAATCACGAATCTTATTACGCGATTAGTACATAATTACACAATATTCAAAATCTATGACCAGTGACTAATTTAATCGTAATGAAAATGCTATGAAACGTATCTAAAAAAAATACGTTATATTTAACGTTTATAATATATAAGATTTATAATATATTGATTGTTCCAGCAAATAGAAGAGATACATAACAAAGGATCATTGCAAATTATACTGGAAGTTACTACGAAATGAAATTATTATTGTAATAAGTAATTATTAACTTCCGAATTACAAAACAGAAATATTTGAATATGTTTGATAATAGCAGTAACAGTAGAAATATAATGAAATAATATGCTGTGTTGTATTTAATATTTTCTTAATTTCAAAAAGCTTTATTTATTGTAAGTACAATTATTAAACAAGCAAAATCAAATTTATATTTATGTACATAACACAATCTTTGCTATGTTAATATTTTATCTTGTTACATATACTGTAAGAATATTTACAATTTGATATTTTATTTTACTGTTTTCGTAATAACAGATTCTATTCATTTTTGTTTGAAATATATTTCTGAAAAAGATATAGAATATATTTTATGGATTTTTCATATATGTTTTTATGTTATATAAAAAGATAAAGTTCAATTATAAATGCATTTGTCTCATAATTAATCAAAACTTAATTTTTAGTTATTAAACTTTTAATTTAGATATTAAAATAATCATAAAAAATGTATCTTTTTTTTTGTTTAAAAATCAAGTTTAATTACAAATAAATTTTTTTATTGTGTAATTTCTTATCCATAAGACATCAATTTAAACAAATTTTTAATTAAAATAAATATCTTACTTTTCTGTATAAAATGATTCAAAAATGCTTACATCAAGTTTATCGTGCCTTTTTGATAATAACAAGTGTTCATAATATTATATTCTAATAATCTTGTAAAGATATTACAAGATGATCATGTCACAGAGCACTTTGTATAAATCTTACTGAAAAATAATTGTAGATGGGATATATGTAAAATATTTATTTCAATCATTTTATTTTAATTATATTAATCATTTATTCATTCATTATTCATAAAAATAAAAAACCATTAAATATATTACGGACATAAATTTATTTATAAACCTTCCCTTAAAGACCAACCTTCTTAAAAAATAAATTGGTAGACATTGTTTTGTGAAATTTATCTACAGAGAGGAATAAAGATTCATCTACTTGATCTTTCCTCATTTTTATCTACAGCATGGCGCATGTAAATATCTTACAGTGATAAGAAATTAACAATTAGTCATAGCAATTAATCAATGTAATTAGCCTTTCTTCGTGACGATGAGTGGGCCTACATTGTCATTGCACTCGTTGTTGTGACGTCCATGAGAGCCGTCACAGTATGGCCACTATATGTAAAAAAATAATTAAGAATGAGATATATGTATGCACAGGAGATCCTACATATGCACACTTTCAATTTTTAATAACAAATTTAAAAAATATAAGTAATGCATATTTACAAAAAACTGACAAAAAATAAATAGAAATAATTTTTATTTAATTTAATCACCCATTTGTCTAGTTATAGAAACAAAACAAGTACCAAGATGTATAATTTTCGTAATCAGATTCTGATTCCGTAAAAAAACTTACATTTTCAGATCTCCAACAGCGACAAAATACAGCTTTTTCAGAGATATCTTCGATATCAACAGTATCCACTACTTTTGCAATGTCTTTCTTTACTTTGAGATTAACGCAACCATGTGGCTATAAAATAAATATTGCATTATCACATAGATATAATTGAAAAAATTAATAAAATTATAAATATATTATCAGGACTATACAATTATTATTATAAAAATTTGTTAACCAAAATATTTAATTGATATTCTATTAATTTATAATATATGTGTATACAGGATGACTTGTATAAAGTAATGAATTTAATTATTAGCAAAATTTGAAAACATAAACAAAAAATAGTTTATATTAATATGTTAAGTACAAAGAAGGGCATCATATAGTATAGTCATTTCAAGATCAACTTTATTTTTTTAATGGAACGCTGTATTTTTTACATATGACTTTACATTACACATTTAATCTATACACACACATATGATATACATGATATATGTAGTATACATGTATATGAATTATTTTTCCTTTATTATTACTATATTGCCCTATTTTATTTCTATTATTAATTATTATGATTATGAAATACAAAATAATAAAAAAATTATAATAACGATAAGATTAGGTATATCTAGTTTGCAACAAATTTATGGCAAATTGACAACAAATTCTTGGAAAAATGATTATCTAGAAGTTACATAACTTTTCCAACGATATCATAACGGATCAACGGACCAACTAACTCTTGTTGTCCTTGATTCTTTCTCCAAGAAATAGGAATAAAACATACCGCAGGTCTGCCGTGAGGACAAAACGCCCTGTAGGACATGTATCCCAAACCCGCGAGAAGGGCAGTAGGTGGCAGAAGAGCGAACCAGTCCTTCACTGATGTAAAGAAAAAAAAGGTAAAAACAAGATGAATTAAAAAGAATTGAACACTCCTTTAAATTGAGAGGTTATGTCGAAGTCTGGAAAACGATATAATCGAGATATAATTGTTGACGCAAGGCATGGAAATGTATGGTGGAAATTACCTCCTAATCGAAACCATCCGCCGATCGAATCAGGAATCGGTAGGCCGGCCAGATAATTCGGAACGGACACTTTGACAAGATGTGCAATCGGTTCCATAGTCGCTCCGGTCGCTCGAGTGACTGACGACGGCGCCGATTATCAGCATTCGCCGACAGTGCCGAAGCATAATTAAAAAAAAGTCCTTTTACAAAGTCCCGTTATACATAACTATCCCGTTATTCCAATAAACCAAGAAGATACAATATCACGAAGCAAAATTGTCTTTATTCATTTTTCAATTTATTCGAATCTTTTATTTTTTGTTCTTACACGATTAGTTACATTTTGATCGATACCTTCTTCTAAATAAGTTTATGCTGAATTTTAATCGTGCTTTAAAAAATCAATTTTGTTGGCAAATTATACTCAAACACAAATGTTGAAATGTATATTAGAATATAAAAAAAAATTGGTGCATACGATACCTTTAACACCGCGACGTGTGTCCAACGTCTAACACACACGTGGATCAGGTCAGGAAACCACAGGTCACAGAGTGTCACAGAGAAAACTGCAGAAGAACACCCGCAACGTCTATCGCCTATATTCGCTCCTGATCGGCACGCTTCACGATTGGTCGGTAGCGAAGTATGGAGGGGGACCGCGGTGACGAGGTGAAAGACCGGTGGCGCGCGCAAGTGGCGCCGCGCGCGCTCGCTCAATCAGTTGTGGGGTGTCCACCGGCCAGGTGAGAAAGTTGATATTATTACTTGTATTCGCGCGTCTTTCGTCGCGATTCGCGCCGCTGCTGTGTACGGCGTCTGTCCGCGGTCGCCATCACTCGCATCTGCAGTTTGCCGTCTGATCTCCTTCCACGAGGAAAGAGTAGAGCGCGGTACGCGTGTACACAGGGTGAGCCTCGAAGCAGCACCTCGCTGTGTCTCCTTTCTTCCCTGCGGCATCGAATGAGAGCGAAAGAGACCGAACGCGACCGACGATCGTTCGCAGTGCGGCCTGTGCGGCGCGACGAAGAGGGGAGGGCGCTTCCCCGTCCCGCGCGTGGGTGTGCGTGCCCGAGTGATAGATACACAGTTGTCGGGTGACAGAAGCGCAGAGGGCGAGGATAACCCAAATAAGGAAGGTGCGCCCTTTACTCGTTACCTTCTCGATCGGGAGTGCACGAGTGCGAGAGGGAGTGTGAGAGATAGCGAAAACGTGACATTACGCGGCAAATGACAGCGAAGAGGTGAGGATCAATGTGCCGTGATGGCTGAGGAGGAGCTGCTGGTCACCCTGTGCCGCGGCGACTCCGGCTCCGGCGGCTCTTTCGGCTTCTCGTTGCTCGGCGCCTCGGCGTCGGCGGGCCTGCCGGCCGCCCACGTCATCTACGATATCGTCGAAAACTCACCGGCGGCCAGGAGCGGCAAGGTGAGTTCTACATCAGGACGACATAGAGTCGAGCTTATCCGTCGTAAGGACGAATTTCGCGTATCTGTGCCACAGGAAATTGATCCTTACAGATAAAACGATTCTCGTACAATCGATTTTTGCGCATGATACGGTTTTTACAAATAAACGAAACAGTAATTTTTTTTTCGTACGAGTGTCCCTGGCATAGCTACGACGAGGAATCTGACAGCTACGATGGGAAACTGATTTTTAAGAATAAAGGAACGCGACGATTAACAATTTTTCGTATGCTTGCAACATTGAAAATTAAACCATGAAATGGACAATTTAATAAAATCATTTTCGTGTACACCTAGTTTGAGAAATTGATACTTGCGAATCAATATACGCGAGATGTTACAATTCTCGCAAGATTGATTTTCGCTGCTTGTAGAGTGGGAAATTAATCTTTATAAATAAAAGAGAGAGAGAGAGAGAGAGAGCGATTAACAATATAAGATTTTTCATGGCCGCGATATAGGTGATTGATTGTTATAAATAAACGCTACAATTGTTTTAAAGTCGATATTTGCGTGCTGTGTCTGCCACGGAGATTGATTTTTCTTCGATGGGTATTGAAATGAGTAAATTAAAGAAATGAGATTCTCGCATAAGCGTTATTTTACATACAAGTTCCACAATACTGATTCGAAGAAAAAGATTGCGTTTTACTGCCTGGAAATGGATTAAGACAATGTAAACGTGTCCTTAGAATACATTAAATATTGCAGATTATAGCTGTTTTTTTTTTAACGAATTGTGCTTTTGTAAAGAGAAAGAATGAAATTCAGCACTTCAAGAAGGCTCTTCTCAACGTTCTTTAAAGAACACTCGACATACATAACTAAGAATTGATAATCCTAAGTATACTTAAACGCTTTTATGATACTCTAAGTAAAAATAAGAAATGTGTTATTTCTGACGAAATTGATAATTAATTAGAAAAAGATATTATTTTTTCTTATATGCTGTTATCTTTAATGTTATAAATATAAATTTATAATTGCAAATTAACAATACAATTAACTTTTGTTAATACAAATTAAATTATTTAAATATAAAGTTCAGTAAATTGGTAACATCAAATAGCGATTTTAGAAATTCAATCACAAGTTTTAAATCAACAAAAATTTCGAAATATGTGACTGACAACTAAATTTTAAGTTTTAATAAAAAATGAGTTTGTTTATCTCTACTCATATATCAATATTTCATATTTGTCATTATCCGTGATAAAGGCAAAAGAAAGAAATGTCAGATAACCCGAAGACGTAATCAAGATGCTTTTTGCTGTCATAAATAAATGATTTAAACAACATTTGATATGATCAAGTAGAAAAGACTGGTTAATGCAGTTACGAAGTCGCGCAAGTCTTCAGCTAAATTTAGTTTTGACGCTGGAAACGAAGAAAAAAATTACGAAGACAAGATATGTGATGTAAAAGCGAGAGTGCACCAGCTGCATTCTTTCTGCATAGCGGCACAGTTTTGCGAATAATATATTTAATAACTCGTTAGAAATTTCACGAGAAAACTTTGGATATCTAATTATATAGAAAATCTTGAGATAATTGAGGCTAATCCTGGATAGTGAATGAAAATTAATTGTTGCTTAATAAATTTTTAAAATATAAATATAATCTGAACAATTTGATATCATAATTTGACTTTGTATTTACTTTAAACAATATTGCACCATAGAAGAATAATCTTGCCCTGCTTTACGTTTTTCAATCAGCTGACTTCTTAATAAAGAGAGTTGCTTTTGACGATCATTAATCGCTCCGAGAAAGATGTTGAGCCTCCTGAGATCATTGGAAATCACATCCGTGCGAATGCCGGGGTATGGGCAGCTGGTCCAAACTGGTCCGTCGTCCCAGAGCAGATCCAGCCCCCCGATCCTGGTCTCGTGTCCGCTGAAGCGACCCTCCAAACAAGATTATCGATTTATTTATACGAAATGTCTTTCAAAATTTAAAACTATTATATAATAATGATTTTATTTAAAAATGTCTTAAGAGCATAATAAAAATATAAAAATATAAATATATGAATATATTCATAAATATATCAATATAAATAAGTATATGAATAAAAAATTATATAAAATAATTATAAATATATATAATATATATAAAGAATTTATTTAATTGCTGGTACTTCGAAGTCGAGAACATTGAGGACGTCGTCGACCAGGTCGGATTTCAAACGTTGATCCTCGTTGTCAGTACCTGTTAAGGCTGGAGATGCGTTGATTTCCAAAAGCCAAGGTCGGAGATCATCGCTGAGCAGTATATCGTAACCATAGAGCTCAAAACAGTTGCGATCCTGCATCATAGCCGGTTGTACTGCCAGTAGACTCGCCATTATCACGCCTGAAATAAGCACAGATATAATATATATAAACATCTCACACACACACACAAATTCATATACACAATAAGATAATCGTAAAGTGATAAGATTATTTGTAAAATACATAACGGTAATTTGATAATTTTATAAATACCCGCAATACGTTGCATCAAATTTTCAACCACTTCCACCTCGTAATAAGTTATCAAATAATCCCTAAGCTTATTCAATGCCCATTTGCAGTTCCATTCCCCGGTCTCGCCTTTTATCGAAGAGATACCCTCGGCATTCTGACTTGCTTTCAGCTGTATTGCCGTATTTGTCAAGTGCACTCTGGTGTCGTCAATGTTTTCCAGATCAAACAATTGGCCACACAAACGGGCAAAACCTTCCCTGGCCAGCCACACTTTCAAAGGATGAAATGATGTCACCAATACGTAAATGCGTAGATCGAACTTTCGCCCTGAAAGCAGGGATTTAAATTTCATTGTAAAATAGAGATGATGATATTAGATGGATTCAAGGTATATAGAATTAGTTCATGATTTTATTGTTTTAAAAACTAACATCAGTTAACAATTAATAAACACAAGTCATAAAATTTAAGTGTGTATTTACACGAGCGCACACTTTAATTTCTCAACTATATGTATATAACTTATATTATAATTAAATATATAATGTTATAATTTACGTTATTATTTATTGTATAATATTAATATAATAAAATTTAATTAATAATGTATATATATTTAATATGATATTATTAAATGTATCAAAAAATATGAATATATTCGATTTGTTTACAAGTTTTAATTAATATATTTTGATGACTAATTGTATAGATCCTAAAGATAAAGAATCTGAAATTTAACCTGCAACGAGATAAGGATTATCTATGTATTTTTGAACGACATAAATCTCAGTTGGAATTCCTGATGATTGCTGCGATTTGGCCTCTCTGCTTTTCCACTCTACAAGATCCTTCAGCTTCCTGAATAGAAAAATACCTTTGCCTCGCGATCTTGCTACTGGTTTGACAATCCACGTGGCTCCTTGTTGCCTACGATTTAGCATATTTAGCATCTTATTAAGTCTAATTCCATAATTTTAGCGCTACATGACTATATACTGAGATCGTATTTTTATTTCCAAAAAATATTTGTTGTCATATTTTTATTTGAATACGATGAATATAAAATGTATTGTATGAACCAGAATTCTTACAGAGAAATGCATAATATAATAAGATATAATAAAACTACCAAAATATATTATTTTGTGTGTATGTGTGTTTTGTGTATGTGTATGGGCGCGCGTGCATATACAAATGTAAAAAATTTAAAAGTTTACTGTAGAAATTGTGCAAATATATAACTTTTATAATATTTTGAATAAATATATTTTTTTAAGCCACGGTTCTTTTAAAAAGTTTTTTGCATGTAATGTAATCTATAACTTCAAAAATTTTCAAGATATCAATATCACATATCGATATTTGCTTCTTGATATTTTTCTCTATGAACTTGTGATAAAATATAATACTTAGATAACGATAAAATCATAAAAGTTAGGATAGTAATGAACTTAATTTATTACAGAAAGGAATATAAAATTAAAATGATATATCCAATTAATGTCATCTTCTTAATTAATAACAAATCTTTAATTAATAATAAATAATTTTACTTATGATATTCTTCGACGAACATCCGATAGTCGCTAGGCAGCTCGAAGGTCACAGGCATAGCATCACTGATGCGAGCCTCAGCAATTTTTCCAGCCCTTATGAGGGCTTTCCTATAGCGCTTGAGATTGCGGTATAGGTAATTCTTTCGCGTGAGCTCATAGTGATTACGGAAGTGCGGCACCCGCTGGTAAGGGCGCAGCTTCTTCCGGTCCCCGTCCAACGCCTGTCGCAGCACATCCCCCGTGTCGCACCACCACAAATGCCAACTAGAATCTTCGGGATCGACTATCTCAAGAAAGAAAGATACAACGATTTAATTACTTCCATTAAAAATTTGGCACCCTCCACTACAAAATTTTAAACTTTTAAAACAATAAATTGAGAAATAAAATATTTCAGAAATATACAAGATATTTATAATTCAGAAGATATTTGACATTAAGCTTTAGTATTGTATTTACTTTTTCATCACTTTGCTTGTATGTAAATATGATAATTATGTCAGTATATTAATTTATAATTATTCACTATTTCCAACTATCTACATTCTATTTACAGTCTATTTACAGTATCTTAAAACTTATAACATTTAATTAATTAATTTCAATTCTAATTCTTGTAGTAGTATAGATATTATATTACTGTATCAATTAATGAGATTTATAATGCTTTCTTTAATGATGAGAGTGCTGTATCTTTCTCCATCTGTATGTATGTGTATTTTTTAATGGTAATTTTTTATTTTGAAAATTCCGTAATATATCATAATCCCGTAACTTGACAAAATTACCTGAATCCAACCTCTTGCCAACATCACCTCAACTTGTGTGGAGGGAAAATCACATCGGAATTTGACAACTTTATCTTCAGAGTTCTGCTTTTTTTTTAAGTTATAAAGTTTTTTTTCTGCACCAGATAATTTGGTCATTTCTATCTTTAAAGGGGTAATCCGCGAATTCTCCAATGTCTTTTGTGTGTTATTCATGGTTTATCAAGATAATTGAATTATTCAGACATATTGAAGATATAATTCGCATTTGTTAGTTTATATAGTGTATTTTGAGATATTCAACTTTTCTTTGTTCTCCTTTGAGTCTCTTGTGATTTGAATTTTTATTTTTATTAATATTAGAGTTAATTTAAAAAATATCAATTTTGTAATATTTTGTAATATGTGGGACTTTGTTTCAGGAATGAATTTTGTATAAAAAATAAATTTAAATAAAAATTTTATAAAGAGTATACATTCTATTTAATTTTATTACAAAGTTACAGCAAATTGGATTTTCTGACAATCTAATTATAAAAAATACGACGAACACATGGATGTATGAAGAATAAGATCAATGACAAGGTTATAGAAGATTTGTATTGATATATAAACATTCATTTTGAATATTTCTATGATGATAATAATTAAATACAGTTCAAAGAAGAAAATTTATTATAAATTGAAAGCAAAATCAAATAGGATATGTTATAAATTCGCGTAATTTTTTTCCAAATGCTAAATTTATTCTTGGAGGATATTAGGATCCCAACATAATGAAATATTCTGTGCATTGCGATCCCATCGATATATATAATAATTATTTACACAAGTCAAAGTGCATCGTGCGCATTAGAGGACGGATTAGAGGACAGCGGGAGGAAAAGTCAATGTCATTGCGGGTCCAAAAATATAATTGGCTACTGGCCGAAATCTTCACGTTCCGATTCGCATTCAATCAGTCGCATTTTGTCGTTTACGAGTTGTCGATGCTTTTTTAATGTGAATAAAGAATTTGGAATCTTAACATATATCTAAAGATATCTAAACGTGTATCGAATGCCCAAACTCACGTCCTGCCTGTCGTGCTGTTTGCGGCCTTTTGAGTTCCTTCTGAGACGTTCTGGAAGGAGTAGATATGATTACGTTGAGTACATGGCACTCTGTCAGGTGAATCTCATAACTCTGTGTGAAAATTTATCCAAATAATTATGTAACGTAAGAAATGTGATATTAAGATAACAAAACAATTGACAGTGTGTTTGGAAAAGATTGTTATTTGGTTTTGTTGTCACTGTATGTTATTTTATTATTAGTACTATTGTATGTATGTATCTTTAGTATTTTTTGAATTAAAAAATTTATATGTTACATATATGTTAACATATAACATTAATTTATCTTTGAAAAGTTTAAATATCTTTAAATTAAATATTATAAAAGCTATATACATATTATTGAAAATTGATCATTATATTTAATTTCACAGAAGAATTGTTGCATTTCTCTTCTGTAACATAAAATATCTTTATTCATAGAGATTGAACAAATATCATACTGTTAAAGCAACTAGTGTAGATAAACTAGTATCCTTTCATTGAACTTTTCTTGCCTTCAATATAATTTCGTAATAGGACTTGCTTTCAGGCTTTCACACTGCGGCAATCGTGTATGTTTTCAATCGGTCATACGTTTGACAATATATCAATGTGCATAGATAAATGTTCACGAATTATTAATAATAATAATATTATTAGATAATTGTTAGAAATATAATTTAATTACTATAGAAACTTGATTGACATATATGTATATAAAAAATATATACGTATGTGTATGCGCGCGTGCATATGAACATATGTGTTGAAATATGAATATGTATATTTTTTATGAAGATGATTTCTGCTTGATTTTTTTGCAGGTCGAAGCTGGTGATGTCATACTTAGGGTGAACGAAGTTGATGTCAATCGATTTAGTACGAAAGAAGGTAAAAATATTAGATTTATTAAATATACCTACTTTTAATCTTTAAATATCGAAATTTGTCAAATTTAAATTCAATTGCTGTTTTAATATCATTTTTTAATGTCATTTTTTCGCAATTATATGAGTTCAAGTGTAGAAGCTAATATTAAAAGAAATATTTATATACCTACTTTTTTATGTATACTAAGGATTATAAAAATCTTTAATATTTAAAAAAATGTTAAAAAATATACTACATTAAATAAAATGTATAAATGATAAAAACAAAATAATTACGATTTTTTTCGTTTTTAAATTGAAATCGATTTTCTTTTTATATTTTGTATTTTGTCATTTATCATAAATTAAATGTCACTTAAGGCAATGTGATTCAACATGTAACGTAATTCAAACTACGATGGATTAATTAAAATTTCGATTCTATTAATTTAACTATGACTATTGAAATCGAACTTGATAATACTTCAGAGAACAGAATTTGTAAGATAATTTATTTTGATTATACAATGACAATAATTAAAAATTATATAAAATTTTTATTAAATTATATATGCGTATAAATTCCAAATTATTTTTATTAGTTTGAAGTTATATATGAATAATATTTTCTTCTATATTTCACAGAAATTAATACCTCGATTAATACAACATTTTAGAATCATAGAAACTGTTATTTATTTATTTATTGAAGAAGTAAAAGGTTATAGTAATATAGCAAAACAATTTAGTTTGTTTAAAAAAAAACGAAAGAAAAGCTCGGATAAAAAAAGAATGAAGAAAATATAAATTCTGATTTTAAAGTTAATTATTTTAAAATTAATTTGTTTATTATTGATTTATTGTAGTACTGAAATGTCTCCGACTGTCTTCAGATCCCGTTACTCTAAAGCTGCGAAGGGGTAAGTGAGATTTCTTAGAAATGCACGATCAATTTTCATAAACTTATATATTTTAATCTTTTATATAAATTTTATGATTTTTTAAAATATATATCAAATATATTCAAACGCCTTTTATACCATAAAATGCAAATTGATTATGTATTCACGAGGCTGCTGAACTCTTGCGATTGTAAGCGATCTAATGATAGATCACTGTCTGAACACATTCTTGAACCTGAACATTATAATAATAATAGAATTAATACGCTGTAATAACCATCGCGGCTAACACGATAAACAGAAAAAATTACGCACTTACCCCACGGAAAGGGATGGCCGATGACCAAGGACTCGTGATTATTCGCACGAGCGACTTTCAAACGATGCACAAGAGTGACAAACGATTTTCTGTCAGACGATCACATTGATCTCCCTAGAGACACTTTTATGTTTTTTGTTTGCCATTGTCAGGACGTTTTTATTATTGTACATTATTTAATATTATTAGTTTTAATTAACGAGTAGATGAATTTATTATAATCTGTTAATTTTAATCTTTCCTGATAATAACATAATTTAACGATATAAATATTGTCGGACAGTTCCACTAATCCCTTATGTTTACATCAAAGTAATGTTTTTGGCATGTTAATCTTTAAACGATATTGTTTAAGTAATATCAAATAAATTCTAATAGAATTTTGTTTTAAGTTCCAATTCTACAATTATATAATTGCAAAATTTCGTTGAAATTTTTGCTGGAGACAATTTAAAACAACTAAATAAGCTAAAAAACATTACAAAAACGTTTATATTAAATAAACGTGATTTGATAACAAATATATTCAAGGCAATATTTTATGTATAATGACAATAAAATAACATAATTCGGAAGGCATATAAAAATAAAAAATTTTAACGTTAAAAAGCAAAAATTACGCAGATCCTGCTGTAAAGGCTCACGTTCGCCGCCTTCTTTCTCCCGGACAACCTGCGAAGGATGAGGTCACAGAATGTTCAAAAGATGTCTTGGCGAACAACCCCAAGAACATCGTTGCTTCCGGCAATGTAGAGAAGAAGGAGCTCAAGAAGACGTCAGTCACACCAGAAATGTCCGCAAATTCGCCAACACTGACACCGACGCCTGCAACAACAACGAGGAGCAATGGCTCGTGCAGCGATGCCTCTCTCTCATCGGAATTAGAGGCTCTCTTGCCACCCGTGGACCATTTTAAAGAAGAGGAACGGACTCAATGGGAGCCCCTGTCCGCTGACAAATTCTCACGACAGAAAAACACACCTCGGTACAAATTGCAATAAAGATTAAAAGTTTTAATCATCCATTCCGTTGCATACTCGATATTTATTCGAGCATAATCACATTCTCATATCAATTTTTATCAGTTAAAAATAATTGTGCGCGCAATTATATTTTTTTTATACATATGTACGCTTGACTAAATGACAAGCATTGAGAAAACAATGCAACGAAGATATAGAAAAAAGCATACAGAAGTATGAGATCCAACAATATGAAAAAATAAGGATTTGACTTAATTTTTCTTTCTTTTTTAAATTACAATTAATATTTCTCTCTCTCTCTCTCTCTCTCTCTCTCTCTCTCTCTCTCTACTTCTTCACTTATCTGTGAATTTTGATGAATAATGAATCATTATAATAATGTTTTTATTAATATTTCGTATTAATGATAAAATTTAATATTTATCAGGTTCGAAGCGTACATGATGACCGGCGACCTGATGCTAAATCTCTCCCGCACACAACAGAGCAGCAATCTACTGCCTAAGCAACATCAGCAGCGAAAAGTGGACTCCCTTAGGTACAATCCCAATCATCAGCACACCACTACCACTATCACTACCACTAGTGCCCATCACAATCACAATCATCACCACCACCATCATCATCATCATCATCACCATCATCATAACTCGGTACCCAGCAGTCCCAATGAGACCCAACTGGCACATCAGCATCATCACCATCGAGGAACGGTCTACAAAGCTTCCAGCTCGGCCAGTACCTCACCCGTAGGCGCTGCTAGACGCGACGGAGTGCAAAGCACTTCGGGAGCCCTAGTCCAAGTCGATCCGGGCAAGAATACTCCTTCAAGCTTCGGTTTCGTACGTACTTCGCGGTCGGAGGATCACCTGCAGTTTCAAAAAGATCCTTCAATGAGCGCCGTGGATATTGATATCGATGACGATGTCACTTCAAGTTTGAATACATTGTTGGATCCGCGGCCAGAAGGCCTAATGCCAAATGAGCGAATTGTCTGGACTTACAATGCACCTGTTAGCTCACCAGCCGTTTCCTGCTGCCAAAACGGCGGTTCCTCATCTTCGTCTTCGTCCTCATCATCCTCTTCGACGAGCCCTCAGCGTTCTCTGTCCCCTGCTTCTCCTACCTCCGTCTCGTCCTCCGTTATGTCCTCCAACTCTGGTTCCCGTAGGTTCCCTCCGGCCCAAACTGTTCCCGGGGTTTCCAGCGCCCCGGGAGGTCATCTCCCTGCTAACGGCGATTTCAGCCAGTCGGAGGCCATCAGCAACATGTCCAGTCCAGATTACAATGATGAAGAAACAATGGATATTCTCAGCGCGAGGGATATTATGATGGTAAGCGATCCCAGCGATAGCGATTCGACCATTCTGGCGAGCGAACCGCCTCAGAGAAGACTGAAGGCTAATCCTCAGGACACTGGAGACCATAGAATAGTGATTCAAGTCAAAGGGCCTGATAAAGACACTCCAAGAAACACGAGTCCTAGACAGGCGAGGAGAAGAGGAAATCCCATTGGCGAACTGATGTCACCTGCTACATCCCAAAATTTGCAGAGAAATCAATCTGGGATTCCTGGGATCCCGAGCGTTCCTGGAATCATTGCGGGATCTGTAACACCTGAATGTGTAGGTTATCAGGTAATTTTAAATTTTATTTAGAACTAATTATATTATTATTGGTTCTGTTAGAGCAGTACAAATTTTATAAAATACAATGCAATAATAATATATATAATAAAATTAAATTTTATAATAATTTAATTAGAAAATGAACTTTTTTGGGGGGAATTATTTCCAAAGAATACAATTTATACAAGAATAGATTTAAAAACAAAATAAATTACAGTTAAGTTTTTTATTGGATTGCATTTAATATTTTCAGTTATTGATTTTAAATTAAAATAAAATAAGTTTTACTAATTTCTAATTTATTACTATTGTATAATAATTCTATTATCATATTACTTATTTTACTAATTTTCGATTTTAGGAACTAAAAGAAAGCGAAGATGAGAGGGAGGCTCTGATTGCTGGAATGTACGATGAACAGAAGGGACATGGAAGTAGCGCGTCGCCGCCTCAGTCAGCGGATGAAGAAAGCGATATCGAAAGTTTACACAGTTTCCATTATAGCCCGAAAGCGGTAGATTTGCCCTCTGCAATCCGATTGGCCAAACGTCTCTATTCTTTAGATGGCTTCAAAAAGTCTGATGTTTCTAGACATCTAAGCAAAAAGTAAGTTTTCTCTATTTTCCTGATTGAATCTTTTAAAACTTTTTAGAATTTTTTATTTTTTTTTTCTCGAAACAATTCAAACTAAAAGTTAGAAAACTTTTAAAAGAACTCATCATTAATTGCTGTACATAAAAGTATGAAAAGTTCAAGAAGTATCAATTTTATAAATATGTTATTGTATATATATTGTGTTTGTAGCAACGACTTTAGCAAAGCTGTGGCGGAGGAGTATCTGCGCTACTTCAACTTTGAACGAGATACACTGGACATGGCTCTTAGAAAATTTCTCGCTCAATTTTGTCTAACGGGAGAGACTCAAGAAAGAGAGAGAGTCTTAGTACATTTTTCCAAAAGATATTTGGATTGCAATCCCGGTAGTTTTAATTCTCAAGGTAAGTGCACTTTAGAATATGTATTATTAGTTGCGTATGTCGTTATGTGTGTCTTTTCTCCTCTACCCGGAACATGTCGAGAAACGCATTTTGGACTAATGATTTTTGGATCGAATTTTATATATTTTTTTTGGCAAAAATTTAATTTACGTTCGGTTAACCCTCTACCCTGCATACCCGATTACATGGAACACCCCGTCATAATGACCACTATTTCAGAAAAACACGAGTTTCATTCATTTTTCCACTGGTGTAAATGTAAACCTCAGCGATCATAATGACCGATATTCCGGGCAGAGAGTTAATTAATATATTTTTTCCTTGTATGTACATAAGTTAAATTTATTCAATAATATTTGTGTTTAGATGCGGTTCACACACTGACTTGCGCGATAATGCTGCTTAATACAGACTTGCACGGTCAGAATATCGGCAGAAAGATGTCATGTTCAGAGTTCATTGAGAATCTATCGGAGCTCAACGATGGTGACAACTTTCCACGTGAAGTGCTGAAGCAACTTTACAACGCCATTAAATCCTTTCCCCTCGAATGGGCAATGTAAGCAAGCGTGACAATTATAAAATTATCTTCTGTAGAATAATAATTAAATTCTTTACAATTAGTGTTAATAGTTTCTTATAGTTTAGTATAAAAATTGAAATGTATCAGTCTCTTTCAGAATAATAATTAAACTCTTAGGTTTAAATGCTTTTCAAGCAAATTCAGTTTTATATTCTGTTTAGGGATGAAGAAGGGGACGAAGCGACAAACCAAGCAATTCAGCAAGGCGACGGTACGGCGGCGATTGCCGGTACCGGAAATCCGTTTCTCGATGTGCCAAATATTACGGGCGCTACGGAGTTCAAAAAGGGATATGTTATGCGTAAATGCTGTTATGACTCCAATGGCAAAAAAAGTATGTACTCCTATATTACCTCTTATAACAAAATATTTTTTTTTAACAGCAATGTTTATCTTACATCATGTAATCTCATATATTATATCTTTCTTATATATCTCTTATCTTATTATCTTTTATAAAATGTTACATAGCTCCGTTCGGCAAACGTGGATGGAAAATGTACTATTGTACATTGCGTGAGCTTGTGCTATACTTGCACAAGGATGAGCACGGTTTCCGTAACGATAGTTTGCACAATGCTATACGTATTCACCATGCGTTGGCTACCAAGGCGACTGATTACACAAAGAAACAGCATGTTTTTCGATTACAGACTGCCGACCAAGCTGAATATCTCTTTCAGACAAGGTTGGCATTTTGGTATTCTTTGTTAAGTTTAGAAAATTTCTATTTAAAATGGAAAGAGTTATGATAAAAATTTTAATGATTTCGACTTAAACTGAATTTGAAATTGATTGAATTGTGAACGTTCGATTATAATTTATAATTAAAATTATAATTTTCATAGTTATAATTATGATTATTGCATAATTTGCGAGTGTAATTTAATTTCAATTTCAGTTAACTTTCAATTTTAATTGTTTGTAAGATGATTATGTAATATATCAATATATTTACAGTGATTCAAAGGAGCTGCAATCATGGATCGATACCATCAATTTTGTGTGCGCCAGCTTTTCGTGTCAGCCTCTCGCAGGCGCCGTTGGGTCTCAGCGCAAGTTCCAGCGTCCATTGTTGCCATGTAGCCATACTAAATTAAATTCTGTAAGTATGCCATGAAATATTGCATTCTTTAAATTTTTCTTAACAATTGTTTAGATTAAGGTGTGATTTATGGCTTATTCGCGCGTCTACATACAGGATTTTTAAAGTTTGCTAATTAACAATAATTTTAAATCAGGTATAACTCTTCAGAAGAATTATATTACAATAAAGATCTTTCATAAAAATTAATAGTTTAATTTGAATTTAATTAAAAATAAACATTTTAAAAATGGAAGTGATTTTAACATCTTGAAAATATGATTAAAATTTTTGTTTTGTTTATTGACTTCCTTATTGGTCTCTTGGAATTAAATTTCAAAAACCTATGAAATTTATTTTTCGAAAAAATAATTAGTTAAGATGATTTCAAGTGATCATGATATGCAGATCATATTGTATAACAAATACTTGTAACATCTAGAAAATTTAAATTAAACTGAAATATCTGGAGATGTTAGAATTATAAAAATATTTCTTTATTTGTTTAGTTAAAGGAAATAAAGAAAGAAAATTAAATTAATTAATAGAGAGAACAGTTACGGGACCATGAAGATAGGGTCAACAGGCTAGAAACGGAATTGGACGAACATAGACGACATCCTCCGGAAAGAGGGGCTAAAGCTCTTACTGTACAAAATTATAAGGAAAAAGACGCATATTTGCATCACGAGGTAACTTTTAAGTTAATGATATGTTTAGTAAAACATATCGTTAATATAGAAATTTTTTTATTCAAATTTACTAAGAATTTTAAAAAATTTTAAATAATTTTATTAATTGAGAGAATTAATGTTTTTCTATCTCAGTCCACAATTTTTACGTTTTGTGTAGATAATTAAAATTCGAAAATCTAAAGTCTGTAAACAAAAAAATGATTGATCGATTTATAAATAACAAAAATATTTTCTATTAACACAAAATTACAATTTTAAAAATTTTAAATTTTTCTTATAAAAAATTTATATTTATTTTATTTTATTATAACTATAATTTTATTTCTCTATTGCCTCTCTTCCTCAATTCCCTCCTTTGCGCGCGCGCGCGCGCGCGCGCATATGCATACATATACTTTTTAATAGTCAATCAAAAGATAATTGAAAATATATAATATTTCATATTTCAAAAGCAAATGTAACTTTCACATATTTCCGAAATGATTAGACTGATAAAGAAAATTGTAATTATTATAATGATCTTTTCTCTACTATGTAATCCTTGACAAATTTTTCTTTAACTTTTATTTGAAGATATTAAAACTGTTAATTCTCATTTGTTCGTCTAAAAATAATATAACAGTAATGACAATAATCTGATAATTGAAAAAGTAGAGAATTTATTTCAATTATTTACATATTTGGTGCCTTCAATTTATTGAATGAATATAAATTTCTTATTTGAAATTATCCTATTGAAAAACTCAATTTTTTTTTTTTTTTTTTTTTGTTAAAAAAGGATATGTATTTCCTTTTCTATTCCATTTAAAATTACCCTTTCACTTCATCATACTCTACAGAGCAACCCTCGTTCCAGCTGAAGCGGTATAAAACATATGCCTATCTTCTTCGTTCCCGACTGGCGTTCAGTGAGATGGAATCATCGCTAGTTGAGAGCAGTATTGGCGAGGTAGACGAGAGCATGCCACTCGGACCTCCTGGAGCCGTAGGAAACGCGGAAGGAGCTCTGGTACCACCGCCGGTCCCCGAACGACCAGCCGCAACTAATAGGTACAGTTACCGGACCGCCATTTACAGCGGCGGTAGCCGCAATCTGCTGAACGGTGGCAATCAGGACTATAATGCGGTTGGTGGTGACGTTGGTTGACGCAATGCTTATGGCCTATGCGGGCTAGTTTGACCCCGGTGCTGGTGCTGGTGCTGGTGATGTTGATGTTGACGATAAAGACACGAGTGACGCAAACTAACGATATACTCGGCAGCGTATCACACACACTTCAATGGTGTTATTAAGTGTTATAACGTACAATCGAGCGCAAAAATACTGTCCTGTTTTGGTGTTGTAAGATTGAACTGCAACTGCATCGAACTTCTTCCCTTTCCTCAGTTGACCGACCAGCTGAAGGAGAAGATACAGCGAAACTTATAGAGAGAGGAGCTCAATGCAAGTGCAGTTCTATTCGCTACACCAGATAGTATTTTGCCGTTTGCTGTACATCTTATTCAGTGGCGCAACTATTTGATCATATTATAAGTATGTCGAAAATATTACAACCAAAAAGATAATTTTTCATATAAAAGTTTAGCAAAAAAATTTATTTTTTAAATTTTGTTAAAATTATTTTAATTAATAGTAGTAACGCCACTGACTCTGTTATACTTTTGTCATGTCTTCTAATTGCGGTAGCGATTTTAGCTCTTGTTGAATCTATTTATTTATTCCTTCAGACCTGACTTCTTATCTATTTAATTTTAAAAGTTAACTTTGTGTAAAATTAGATAAATATATATAAAATTCACTATAAGGCAGCACATTTAAAATAAAATATCAAAGGAAACAGTATATACATATAGTATGTTGACAGGGATGACATGCCTAAAAGATGCTGTGTATAACTAAAATTGAATTTAAATGATTCTTGAAAATATATGTTTATTATAATCAGGTCCGAAAAAGTTAGTTTTTATTTTATTTTATGTATAAAAATTCATGTATTCTATTTCGACTGCTGATAATATTTTTATTCTTAGACATTTTTCTTTTACTCTATTTTAACTTTTAAATTTGACAGTTTTATTACTGGTATAATCTGACATATTTTATACAATTGAATAGTCTTCATACTTAAAAGAATCTTCTTTTATTTCCTCTGATTTTTTCTTCTTCTATAATAGAAAATAAATGTCATTTTGCTCTTCTAGAAATTCTATTTTATTATTGAAGCGTGTAAAGAAATACTTAATTATGGAAATAACATATTATGCTGTTTCACCATATTGTTAGTTTGCGCATAAATATTAAATATGCAAATTTAAAAATATATAAAAGTTGAGAGGCTGTTATATAAGACTGGATAGCAAATTTTCACGTTTTAACGTGCTGAATAGAAAGTTGAAGAAAATGTGTCAATCAATTTATGACTGCAAAGAAAAATATTTACAAATTTGTTATTTTGTTAATGGTTTGACACAAATATTAAATTTATATATTTTTTATTTATATAACTTTACACTCGTGAAATTTTTTATGCTTTTTGTATTATATGCAATTAATAATACTTTTGTTGCTTTTAGTAATATCTTGTTAAGTTTTTTATACATATCAAATTTTTTTCTTTTAATTTTTCTTTCAAATGTTAATTAGGAAATTTATATTACATAAAAAATAGATGTAAAATTAAGCATGCCATATTTTTTATTTAAACAGAATAAATTATATTATGTGTAAATATATTTTTTATTGATATTAATTATATGAAATGTATATTTTATATTTAAAGATAAATTACTCTCTCCTTTCTCTTCCGCTCTATCTCTTGCCTTTCTCCTATATTCCTTTTTCTTTTCCTCTCTCTTTCTTTTCTCCCTTTTCTCTAATCTTTATATGTATAATAATAAAATTGTTATATCTTTAGTCTTAATAATTAATTAAATGTTTGTTTAACGTCATATACGTATATATGTTTAACATTTATTATGACAAATAAAAATTCTTGCATCAAAATTATGCATATAAAATTTTTTTATATATTTATATTAAATATGTAATACTAATTTGATTTCAATGTAATTAAAATGTTTGTCTTTCTGGTTTTTATAATAAAACTATTTCGAATAATTAAATTTTACAATTTGTGTTTCATTATTTTATTTTAAATATTTGCAACACATTTAATTTGTTGCAACAAAGTTGAATTTTAGTTAAATATAAATTTGGATGTGAATACAATTAATATTTCAAAATTAGACAATTATAATAAAAATGTTTTTATTATAATTTAGATCACTACTAATAAACGAAATTAATAATGATTAAGAAAATAGATAACAATAAAATTATAATCATTTTTTAATTTCTATAAATTATAGTGATTTATATATAATACCGTACACAATATATATACATACATTTATACATATACACATGTATGCCCAATTGGAATTGTCGGAGGGTGAATTCACCTCCCCGGGGGATGGGGCTTCTGGTGCGGGATGTCAGGTCTGATCCTTCTCAGTTGCCTCCGAACTTTTCTAGCAGTCGACACCGTCAGCAAAGTGCACTGTAATTTTTACGTCTTGTCACAGGCAAAAATTCAGCACAATCTCGATCGCAGCCAACAAATTCTGCACAAAACTGAGAAAATCTGGTTCCGAAACGTTGGAGATATTAAGAACAGCTTATGGTAGGACGCTGCGTTGTCTTCAGAATTTGATCGCGTAACATTGCTCAAGACTATGCTGCATTTTCGCCCGTGATAAGACACAAAAATTACAACGCACTTTGTTGACGGTATCGACTGCTAGAAAGATTCGGAAGCAACTGAGAAGGGTCAGACTGTATACGTGACATCCCGCACCAGAGGCTCCGTCCAATGGATTCACCCTCCGATAATTCTAATTGAACCGCCAAAAATAGTCTCATTACTTTTGGGACAGACCATGTATGTATATATGCATGTATATTTATGAATGAAAAAAACATGAATATAATAAAAATTACTATATAAATAAATTATTGTTTAAGAGAAACATACGAATGTTCTAGCTGATATATGGTATGCAAAAAATGGCTCTGTATATAGATTTTAGTTATAAAATTGATTAGAAATTTGAAAAATATAAATTATTTTATTTTCAATATAATTTTATTTTTATTTTTTGGTTAAACTTTTGTTTTAATCAAACCACTTTGTGATATAAAAATTTTTTTCATATTTAATATATATATATATATATATATATATATACAAAATTTTTTCTTCCATCTTTTATTTCATTGTTTTCTTTTTCTCTTTTTTTGTTTTCTATTGCTTATAAGAATTTTTTTCTAGCTCGTCTTTTCATCTCAAAGTTTTTTAGGGAAAATTATCATTTTGTAGTTTATAGAAAACTCCTTGTACATAAAACTGTAATATATGTGGATATATAAGTAACAAATACTTATAAACTACGTAATAAAGATCGACGATCTTCAAATCTTTGCATTTCTATGAGAAATACCCAATTATTTTCTATAGCGCATGAAATAATCCTTTTTTTAACAATTATATATATTGTAATATAATAATATTATATAATAGTTATTTAAATTATTTTGTATGCATTCGCTTTTATATTGTTTTGCATGCATTATGATCTTGACAATACTATTAATTATTATACATTAGATTAATTTTGTTATAACTGGTTATACGTACTTTGTGTATTTATTTATTTATTTTTATATTCTGGTATATTGTTTTTTAAATCACTTACAGCATGTTTACATACACAACACACACACGCGAGTTAATTAATTGTAATAAATTATTTGTATATTTTTTTATGTATATATGAGATTATAAAGTTTTATCGTAAGATATAATAATAAAAATAATACGTAAGTAGAATAGTAGTATCTTATAATAATTTTATAACAATTTTGATATTTTTAATTCACAAAGATATTTACCGAAATTGAAATTAATTTTTAAAAGTTAATCTACAATTTCGGTTGAATTTTTATAAAAATTCGACAATTTTTTGTTTATAATAAATTCATATTTATTTGTTGCATGCAACAGAGTTGACCTGGCAGCAACGTAAGCAGGATCCAGCAAGGTTACATCCAGCTTTCAGAATGTTATTCAGGATATCTTCCTTGTCGTGCAAATATAATGAAATAAAGTTTGCTGTTAAAATCGAATATGAAATTAATTGAAAAATTATGATATTCAGGAAAGAATGAAGATTGTATTGGCTATATTAATCAAATTTCTTTTAATCTATTGATTAATGAAAAACATAATTTATTAGTTATATGGAATAATTATCTATTCCTATAACTCATAATATGTATTACAAATAATACAAGATTATAAGATTTTTAGCTTCAACGTTATGTTTATACTTAAGCATCTTATTAATCTTTTATATTAAATTATGAAAAATATATCCTTTATAAATTTTTTATAAATAATATATTTTTTATAAGTAAATTAAGGAAGTAAAGAAATCACATGCTTTTGAAAGATAGTAAAATCGAATTATTGCAACAAATTTTCTATATAACCATTCCCATTATGATAAATAAATGACTTATTACTGGTTAATAAAATTGTTTGTCAATTAATTCGCAAATTTACATCTACAGAAAATCTAACGAAAATGCTAATAAGCAATCTTTATTTTTTCTAATTATATATAATTTTTCAAAGCGACAGAGAAAAAATATATTATATAGCAAAGATTTAAATAAGAAAAGGATAATTAAACCTTGCCTCGCAAGATTAGGCAATCTTCTTGTTTCCTAGCAAAGATAATTGATTTGATAATAAATAAGGCTAGAATTTCTCTCCGTATTTACGCGAAATATTATTTAAGACTGACTATAGCAAAATATCGTGCACAGAAAATTAAACTATAATTGGAAAGAAATTACCAATATGCAAAAATTTGTTTCACCATAGCGATGATAATATGAATTAGTAATTTCTCATCCTATAATATAATGCATCATCAAAAATTATTACAAAATTATTCCTTATAAATATTTTATAATTGTATATGGACGAATAATAAATTTAAACCGTTAGGATGCGAAAAGAAGAGGCCAAAGAATTGCATTTATATATATTCTACTAAATATTCCGTTTCTTCCATAATTTAGCGTATATAAATATATGTATACATATTTCAGGATTTAACATTATACATATACTTATTTACACAACTTTTAATTTTGTTATATAAAAAAACTTGAAATAGCATGTTTAGTTTTATTCATTGAACAACTAAGAAATGAGTTAAAAGAAAAAATATATTTCTTTGTACAGCTTGATTTGCTGCCATTGTAAACATATATTTGTAAATATATTTTTGTTATCAATATTATTATTAATATGATCATATCCTATTATTATAATTCGAGGATGTTTATTGATCGATAATGAATTTCTGATAGAAAAATGACTGCGTTTTATATTTATGCATTATTATTATTATTATATGTACCTTTGTAAATATCATTGTGTAGATATTAAAATAAAATATCAAATAAATAATTACTTTATATATATATATATATTTGACAAATTTATTAAACGTAATTCGAAAATAGTTTCGCAATATAACAAAAAGTCAGATATTAAAAAAAGATGGAAAAGGGAATATTTTTTTATTAAAAATCAGTTGCATAATAAAATCGGTATAATAATTGTATATAATTCTTCCAAATTGTTTCAGATTTTCTCAGTTGCACTTTACATACATATATCAGGTGATTCGAAAATAAAACTACTTCGTATAATATATAATATATATATATATATGTATATACAGAAACAGTGCGGTGCACACGATATGCGTGTGTATCTATATCATTATAATTATACATGATGATAATAATAATTATTATATAAATGTTTTTATATTACAACAAGTCATTATCGGACCAAAAGCACAAAGATTGAAAATTTCTTTATCTTCTGTCGTTCGCACATAACCCATTTTCCCTTTTTCCCTATCTTTCAATATTTTTTTTCTCATCGTATACAATAATATACAAGCAATCGACATTTTCTCTTACGACAACTATAATATATATTGTACAACACTTTGGAGGAATGTGATGGCGACTCTGATTAGCACCACAACTTCTTCGCTTTATTTATCCCTTAGTTTGTAACCCTGGATCACTCCTATAAACTAAAAAAAAGTTCATCTCTTAACGCTCTCTCTATCTTTCTCATTCTCTTTTTCTCTTTCTTGCGCTCGCGCAAATTATTAAAAAATAAACTAATTCAACTGATTTGCCAAGTAGAAAAGAAAAAAATAAAAATATATTGTTTAATTTATAAAAAATGTACATGTTTTAATAATCTGATAATATATTCCTCTCTTTGTAAGTTAGTTTTTAGAAATCTTTCTTTAATAGATAATCTAATTACACATATAATTCATTCGATATTCTCAATTTTTTCTTTGTTTGAATTAACTCATAACTAAAAATTATAATTCTTAATTACACAATAATATACAATTATCTCTTAAAAAATCGGAAAGGAATATTACACAATTCCATTGCATCGTTTAATAATCTACTACTATCAAATTATATTTTAGTAGATTATTAATTAATGGAGAAGTAAATCTGGGGTTTTAATTGTTTAATTAATATTGCGCAATGGCACTTTACAAGTTAAATTACAGTGACCTAATGCTCGTTCTAAACCTATATAATATGTATCTATGTAGACACGTATATACATATACATATATATATATATATATATATATATATATAATATATATACGTGTGTGTGTGTGTGTGTGTGTGTATCATTTTCCATGTAGGAAATTATCTTTATACAACTTCCTACCTTATATAACATAGCAACAATGATAACAATGGGCAGGGTAGAGAGATTGAGTTTTCTTCTTTATTTTTTTTCCTTTTTTGTTTCTTCTCTATTATCGTCGTTTTGGTTTCTTTTTAATTCATCCACTTACGACAATTAGGTGCGCCACAAGCGCATGCAATCTTGTGCTGGTCATCTTCAATGTCAAATTTATAGTCATATGCCAACTGTAAAAAAAGATAGATAAATATAAGAATAATATAAAAAATAAATATAATAAAATTTGAGATAGGAAGATTTATAAAGATATATAATTTTCAAATAGAGGAAATATTAAAATAAACAAATAAATAATATTAAATAAACAAAATACATAATTCACTTGTCATAAAAAAATTAATTTCGTAAAATTACCTCTTCGCCACGTGAAATTCGGCGCTTGGCAAAAATGATAATCCTGAGATCGCGCTCAACTTCAACAATCTCGGCGACACAGTTTGGGTTGCAAGAATGATTGATGTAACGAGCGAGACCACCACATAAAGTCGCATCTATCACTCGCTCTTCATCCAATCGGAACATATATATACCGCGATTCTGCAACAAATCATATGTTCTAATATAACATATTACACACACACGCACACATACGCGCGCGTGCAGGTATAGGAAAATAATAAGTTCGTACTAAAATATAATTAATTAATTAATTAACAATATAATCAAAGAAGTTTCTATATACTCACTCTAGCTTCATATTGTTTCTCCCTTGTTTCCGCCAACTCTGACCTAATAATCTCTCCAATGTACTCGATTACCATCGTATGTTTTTCCAGATCTCTTGCTGCGTATAATCCTAGACCTTGAATCTTTGATCTTGCCAAATAAACATTATTACGCCATTCCTGCTTCATCTTCTTGTACTGTGAACTCTTGGAGTGTACGAATTGCTTCGAGTATGGGCAAGAGGCGGCCTCGCTGGCAGCAGCAGCAGCTGCAACTAATGTTGAAGAGACTCCACCGCCCATTGTTGCAGCAGCACCACAAGTTGGTAAACCAAATGGCATTCCACGTGAAGCAAAACCCCCTGTGCGTTGCGTGTGCGGCCGTTTCCATGGTAGCTGGTTACGCAAACGTGCCTCTGTCCGTGCACTTCCTGTTGGATTGATGGCTAAAGGTAACTCCAACAGTGGATTACGACCGTATTTAAATCTGAAAGCGGAGAAATGTTTCGTTATTATTAATTTTCAAAAAAATGTAATACTTTGCAAAACTAGTAGCAAAAGCGAAAGTTGAAACATAGTTATCATAAACAAAAATTATCGATATTGTTCATGTAAATTCCAACATAACATTATTATCTACCTATAATCGGTCAAAGTCTCAATTCCAGGTAAGCTTTCCAGTACTCGCACTACTGCTGGCTCTGTTAAACCAAACAGATCTTCTCCTGAAACGTATCGCGGGAATAATTGAACAGAGTTCGTACTTCTTCTCAATTCTGCCAATGGCTCTAAGATTCGACTCCAAACAGCTCGTGGAGTAGCATCTCTCAGTTCGACATCCTCTTGAAGAGGTTCTTGGACTAGAACACGAAATTCAGGACGACCGGAAACATCGTGGATCGAACAAACATAGCGACAACGTTTGTTGGGTCTGCGCATACTCCAGTAGAAACGCACGATTTTGTACCCCACCGGATAAATATAGTTGGGAGTATGGAAATTTTGCAATTGATGAGGAAGCAGCTGGCCAACACTGAGAAAGATAAGGGAACCGACACGAAGCAGATGTTTATTGTCGGAGTGATGCATCACCGCAGCGACTTGACGATTTTCATCGCGTTGAACGTAGACGCGACGATAAACAGAAAGGGTAGTTAGTTCCTTATCTTTGTCTTTTATAAGATGTTGAGGACAAGCTATGGTCTGAAAGAAAAATTTTATTTTATTAAAAAAAATTGAAAAGCTTATAGAAAATTAAAAACAAAACTTACGCAGATTGTATTGAGAATATTCTTTTAAACTTATATTTAATATATATTATATTAATTAATAACATATATTAAGCGCGCGCGCGTGTATGTATTTTAGACACGCGCGCGCGTATTATATAAATAACATAATATTAATCTACAAAAAACAATTCAATTACCTTGTCTTTATAAAAGCCACAGCCATCTTTGATAGCACATACCAAGTGATACCAATTAGTGCACCTTGGCTTATAGCACTTAACTGTGCCAGCAGATTTTTCGCAAATAATACAAATTTGTACAAGGTTGTTCTGCAAAACCTCGTCCAGTCTCATAAGTGCGCCACTCTGTGCCTCATACACCACATTGGACCATAATGCACAATTGAGATGTACCCATTTATCTACGTCGAAATTGAGTAATCGAGCTGGTCCATCGGCTGTTGCATCGCCCTGACTCTTGCAAAATACGCAACGACGAGTGTCTTCGGCTTTTGCAGGAGCTACCGCAATTCCCATACGAAATAGCATCTGAAAGAAAATTTAATTTATATCTTCTAGACGATTTTAAAATTTTGATGTTTATTAAATATTAGAAAAATCAATAATATTCACATAAATTCACATATGAAACCTGACATAAAACATGTCTCTTGATAAATTCCCAACTAATATATTTTATTTATTTATAATTAAATTCTTCACATTTTCACAACTTTCTAAATAATTATTAAATAATTAATTTAATTATACCTCAGTAATTTCTCTATCAGTGGGTTTTTTAAATTTAGTTGCAGGTTGCATGACTCCCATCGACCATGTTTTATATCTCAAACCTTTCCAAATCTTCGCAGGTGGTTGAGACTCGATAGAATCACCGATTTCTTCATTAATCGGATGTTTCTTCGATCGCTTTTCTTCATTTTCTATACTATCAACGTTATCCAATTTTTCAGTTTTCACTTTGATCTCTGCTGTTGGTTCATTACCAATCTCTATAGTCTCAAGCCTCTCCGTCTGCTGCTGTTGTTTAATAGGATATTTTTTCAGATTTTTTAAATCATTTTCTAATATTTTTGCTTCTGTTTTATGGCATAAATGGTCTACTATCGTCGCAGCCTGCAAAATAATCAAATAAAAATATCAATATTTATTAATATCATAATATTTATAAATTATTAATTATTATAAAATTAATAATAATTAATAGATATTTAACTTATCAAATTTATACACTATAAGTCAATTCTAAAATAATTTATAATTTGCGATAATTTATTATATATATTTATAAAATAAAATTTTTTACATTGAAATATTTTTTCACTTGTTTCTGTAAAGCCAGCGGCACATGATGTATGTTTTTTTTGTTTGTTGGATTGCTTGCGTTTTAGTAAACCACTAGAAATTCAACGTTCTGTATGACGCAATTCTAGTTATTTACTAAAACGCAAGCAATCCAGCAGGAAAACATGTATCGTGTGTCGCTGTCTTAATTTATAGAGAATATTATACAATATAAAAAGATATTTCTTGTATACCTTATCCTGAGTACTAGAAGGTGTTCGATGCATGAGAGCAAATTGCATATAGCAAGCCGCCGAACAGAAGCAAAGTTCATCACCCGGTTCAGCTTCTTCTTTGCTTAAGAATGGCAGATCCGATACTTTTTTCCGAATTAAACTGTTAAGGATCACAACGTCACAATGACGACAGAACTTTGCCGCTCCATTTAGAATGCTTTGTATATCGATTGGAGCTGAAAGATAAATCAATATATTTTATTAAATTATTTAAAAAATTATATATACGTACATATATATAAAATCAAAAATTTTTTATCTGTTTATTTTATTATGATATTCTAATTTATTTCCTAACAATTTTCTTCATAATAAAAATTTTTTTTGTATCAATATTTCATTCGTATAAATTTCATCACAAATATCTTTCATTAAGAAATAATCGTTCTATTAATTACGTACTACCCTCTTTGCCGTCCTTTCCTTTTGTCCTATACAACCCCAATTTTTGACTGGGAGGAGTAGTAGTGCGTTCGACTATTTGATAACCAGCAGGTGGTGTTATATTCAGAATATTAGCAAGATCTTTAAGTACACCCATTATATCATCAGCAGCCTGACTATTCAAAGTTAAGGTCACGGTGACATTTCCGCTTTCTCGTAAAGGAATCGGAGGAGACTTGCCAAGTCTGTATGTGAAGGATTATTTAGCATTATAAAAAAATATCTCATATAATAATAAATAATAGCAAAAAATATATAAATACTAAATAATAAATAATAAATAAAAATATACATACTTGGGTATACCAAGATTCTCCTTGTCTTGTTTAGCTGCATCTTTTAAGTAAGTAGGCTTCAGTCTGATTGGAATTGGTGAAATCAAAGGTATAACGGGTGACACACGTTTCAGCCATTCCGCCTCCTCATCTGATTCTTCCTCAATCAATCGCAGTCCGGGGAAACGATGCATAAATTCTGGTATAACACACTCAGGCGAGGATGAACTTACAATAGTATCAGGAGAATCCACATCGCGATTGGTCGTCATATTCTCTTTCTTATCATCAGCTACAAAAGAATATTTTTATTTGACATTTCTGTATAAAAATTTTAAATATTTCATTATTTCTCTTATAAATGTATATAAACTAATATATGTATATTATCTTTTCGTTCTATTTATGTCATATAAAATTATTTCTTTTATTTTACTAATATTATTTTTCTATTCTTTTATTATTATTAGTTCCCTCTTTTTCTTATTTCTCTTTTCTCTTAATCTTATAAATTTCAAAAAATTAAAATAATTAATATTAAATTTGTCTATAATTATATTATTATTGCAAAATATAATGTATGTAATATAATAAGTAATTGCTCACTATCGTCCAACTTCAAAGGTGGAAATTCCTGATCATAAAATCCTCTCTGAGTAGTCGAGGGTTGTTGGGGTGGCAGAGGCTCTAATTCTCCAAATGGCTGTGTATTATAATGATCAGAAATTCCAGGTAAACTAGCTGATCCATAATTTCCACTCAAATCGCCAATTCGAGCGTTATAATCCTTCTGACTTCCAATCTTAGCAAGATCTCCGCAGCCAAAAATCGGACACACCCCGTAATTACGACTCAAATGAGGTTCTAGAACCGCCATTGGCTGAAGTTGTCGCAACTGTGTCATCAAATTGTCCACAAATGTGTCATAATCCTCATCAAGGCGCGAAACTTTACGGGAACGCTTTTTTTGAGGTGCAGTTACGGCATCTTTTCCCTGGCTCTGCTTTCTCTTTTGCTGGTACTGTCTCCTCTTCAACTTCTTAAGATCTAAAGTGTTCCAGATGTGCATTTGTTATAATTTAATTGTTATGAATTTTATTTAATAAAATGTTAATATATTATATTTAAAAACTTATTATAATTTAATTTTATGTACATAGAAATAAAGAAGATAAGAAATAAAGAAGGGAGGTAAATATATGTTAAAAAAGATATGTTACTTACCAGTTTTATCATCCATTGCGCCGTCTATGAGCTCCTCTTTGGTAGTAAGAAAGTCTTTGGTATCTGTCTGCAATTGACTGACTGATGTTGTGCTAGGAGCGGACAAAACATCCTCAAGACCGATTTCCTTCTTCACCTCGACTAAAGGCACTGTGTTGGAACCTGATGGAGCGACGGATCCCATAACGGTTTGTGGTGGAACCGCGACAGTTCCGTGACTGTGAGGCACTTGTTGCTGAACAGATTGTTGCTGAACGGAAGTAGTCGAAGAAGAAGGAACTTGTTGTTGTTGTGCGATTGTTGTCTTTTGCATGACTGGAGCTTGGTTTTGAGATTGTTGAACTTGAGTTTGTGGGCCAGATATATTATTAGAATTACTGGACGCTAATTGGACGCTTTTCGAGGCTATTCCAGAGGTTACTAACGGTTTATTTTGCAAATCAACTTTGGAAACAGCAACGCGTTGAGTTTGAAGTCCTTCACTGATGCCAGTTCCTAGTTTATTCTGACTTACAGGAGTTTCTTGTTGATTCGTAGAAATATTCGGAGACGTTTTTGTCGTTGTTATTGTTGAAGAAACTGGCTGTTGACTTGATACAGAATTTCCCGAAGAATTTGTTGAAGAAGTAGGAATTGACTTTGTTGTTTGTTGCTTTAAGCTTTCAGTCTGTGCTCTTTGTGTTGTAATCGAACTAGTTAATGGAGGAGGAGGAGCTTTAGCAGATTCTTCCTTAATTGATGAACTTTGAACCTTTAAAGGTGTCACTGAATGCGACAAAAAAGAAGTTTCTCTCGCAAGAACTTGTTTATTTATTACTGGCTTCGGTGTTGGAGGTTCATTCAGCAATTGAGGTAGCAAAGCTGGTGGCGTAGGTAAAACTGGTTGAGCCAGTTGTGCTTCTAGCGAAAGAAAGGGCAAACTGGGTCCTTGCGACGGTGCCGAAGTTGTAGGACATGCTGTATTTTGCAATAATTGCTTCAGTAACACATTTTGGGATTCCTCTAATCTAGAAGAATTAGAAAAACTTTTGGAATCTATTTCTTTCTTTTCTTGAATTTTAGATTCTTCAGTATCTTTTTTCACTGTTGTAGATTGAGTTTCAAGATCGTTATTTTTATTGTCTATTGGTAGAAGACCAGAAGATTTATGCTGGTTCTGATTAGAGGTTAAAAGGGGACTTGGTGCTTGCGATAAAGTCGATTGAAGAATACTTGGAGTACTTGAAACATCACTAGAAGTAGCCAAAGGTGGCACAATAGTCCTAATACATTGCATTGAGCTAGTTACGGGTGAACTAGTATTTATCAGTACTCGAGAGGGTGTGGAACATCCTGAACTAACTTGAAGAATCGCCTGAAGATTTTGCGGGCGCTGTATTGAAGTCGATGGCGAACCGATAGCAGACTGGGTTAGTATTGTATTATTTCGACCATGACCAGCAACTGAAGGTTTCAAGGTAGTACCAGCTAGCATGGCATTCAGCATAGCATTTGAAGTGATGGAGATAGAAGTTGTAATGGTTCTAGAAGTAACTGCAGCCGAAGACGTGCTTACAAGATTTGAAACTGTAGTAGTCTGAAAAGTTGTTCCTGAAGAAGTCCCCACCCTAAAGATCTGCTCGCTGTTATTAATCTTCGAATCTGTAGTAATAACTCCGCTACTTTCTTTTAATTCTTTTTTCTCTTTTGTGGCTAATTCTGTCTCTTTTGAAATATTGGTGATCAGACTAGGTTGAGAGCGACCTTGATTTAATCTTGTCAAAGTCGAAACTCCACTCTGAACATTATTTGACGAATTCAATGTCGACAAGGGACTAGAAGTAGATAAAACGCTTCCAGATTTCACTGAAGAAACCAAGGTGACCACTCCAGTTTGGTTCACTGTTGTTTGATTACTTTTTAAAGATGAAAATAATGATATCAGTTGATCGGACGCATTGGCCACATTAGAAGTCAATTCTGTCGGCTTCGAGAGTGGCGATAAATGAGGAACTGTTGTCGTGCTTTTTTGCAATTGCGCCACGGTACTAACTACCAAAGTGGAAGCTTGACTCGTCGCTGGAGAAGTCTTTTTCACTTCAGAATTTTGACTTTTTACTTCATTTTTAGCTTCAGTTGAAGAAATTTGATCATTTTCGAGATTATCTTGCTCTAAATCCATTAACGAATCTTGAAGAATATTTAAGGGCAAAGTATCCAATGGAGTTGGCATCTGGTAAATAATATTCGATTCGCTACTATTTGCCATTTCCGGTTTTGATGAAATAATATTGTGTAACATATCTAAAATATCATCAGAAGATTCTTCCATTAGTGTCTTTTCTTCGCTTAAACAATGCTGAAGAAATGGTTTGGAACTCTCCATTTCGGCACACAATTCTTCCTGATGATTCTTTTTATTTGAATGTGTATTTTTATCATTATTAGTATCTTCAATTTTTTTCTGAATTTCTTCGGATTTGTTCGTTGCTTTTTGCATATCAGAATCTGAAGAAATCTGTTCTTTATCATTTTCCACCGGTTCAGTGTCATTTTCCAAGATATTAACGAGTGACAGATCATCGGTAACGGGTGACATTCTTTTCAGAGATGTCGTTGGAATATCGTTTTTATTTTCAACATTTTCTGCAGGATTGTGAATGGCTTCTAGCATACTCTCCAGTTCGTCCGTTGTATTTAATGGATCAGTTTTCTTTTCTTCGATTGACTCTGAAAAAGTATTTGATGATATATTTGAACAATCGCTTTCATCCTTAATTTTATCCGGGATTTTCTCCTCGTTCTTCGTATCACCTTCTTGATTGTCTGTTAGTTTCTCTTTGCTTTTTGATATAACATCCTTTTTCGGCAGATCCGGAATCGACATTTTTGGAGTCGAAAGCGTCACAGAGGTTGACTGTACATTTAGTATTAATTTCGTGGGATTGTTTAGAGATTTCGTTGTATTTGGCGAACTTGAAAAGGTTGTCGAAGACTTCTCTGAGAAAATATTTTCTGAGAATAATTTCGACATTTCATTGGCGGAGATGATTTTCGGATTCAATTTGTCTTGCTGAGAATTAGAGATATTCTCCAGAGCGGTTTGACTAAGTTTTGCGGCAATTTTCGCATCTGCCACAATGCTCGCCATCGCTGACAATGTGACACCTTTCTGATTGCTGAAAGAATTCGAGGAAACTTCTTTCAAGTCAAACTGATCTGCTATTTTAGTTTCTGTCGCAATTGAGATCTGATTTAGTTGAGAATTAGAACTAACAGAAACTAAACTAGGAGTCGAATTTGAAGAAATTGCAGTATTTATTAAAGCAACTGCCGATTTTGAAACTGTTACATTAATATTTGTTGGGTATGCAGTTGAAGCTGATATTTTGGCATAAGGTTTATCTGCAAAGATAAAATTTGTAGGACTCTTATTTTGTTTTGAAGATCTGGTTTGATCATCTGTCGAGCCTTCATTAGTTATACTTTCCTTGGAAACATCAGTTTGTATGTTATCAGTTTTTTCAATCTCTTCGTCGCAAGAACCTTTAGAAAGATTGTCTTCAGGAGATTTCGTCGTGGGATCGATGATAACCACTTCAGATTCACTTACTAAAGATACCATAAGTTCTTGATCAGGAGACTGATCTAAATAAGGACTTGGAGAAGGATCAACTCGAAGTTCCTCTTGATCCGGAGATTCTGGAGTATCAGTTACAGCGACTAGCTTCTTTCCAGACTGCAAGGTTCTCACTATATCGAGTCTAAGACTCTTTTTATTTCTTGAATGAGACGGGACTAGATCTTCGTCACTCAAAATCGGTTCTTCTGATTGAGATTCTGAATTATCAATCTCTAAAATTTGCACCAAATCGTGGCCTTGACCAGCATCATTCACTAAAGCATGACAAAGAGAATCATTGCTATCAGCAGAAAGATCTACCACCATTCCAGGTTCAAAGAGAACATATTCTTCCTGCATATCACCTTCTAAAGTTCCTGAAATAACATCAACCAGTTCTGGATCACCGAATTGTTCAATGACGGTGATATCGTCACTATCGCGTTGAGCTGTGGAACTCAAAGTCACTTCAGTATTAACAATAGTTTTGTCATCATCATAATCTGTTGTATCTGGAAGCTGTTCTAGTTTTTCTCCAGGACTTTCCAAAGTTAGAGATCCATTATCTAAAGTTGAAGAGGTTAAAGAGCCTTGACCAGTTGATTTTACCTCCAAAGTTGTTGGCGAAGCCTGTGGCGGCGTATGTGAATCGTCGTCAAAGTCATTGTAATCGACACAGACTAGCGAACTAATTCTAGCAGTTTTCCGATTTGTAGAAGTATTTGCTTTCTCTTCTGCAGATTGCTCTCGTTTCACCTGAGATGTTTCCGACCCTTTACCACCCTTACTATTATCTGCTTTGCTTGACCACATTGGCGATCCACCCCTTAAGCCCAACTTGAACCATCCAAACCGTCCAAAATTAGGAAATCGCATTGGTTTCATAGATTTATTAAGATGTTCTCCGTTTTTAATAGATTTTTCTAATGGAATAACTTGTTGACAAATCTGGTTCTGATCACCTGGTGAGCCGCCCTTCAATCCTAATTTAAAACATCCAGACTTTTCAAAATTATGAAAAGGAATTGGATTTAAGGGATTATTGGAGTTTCCCCCACCTCTAGGAAGATTGTCTGATAAAGAACTTTGTTCCTGAGAAATTTGTTGAGAAACTTGTTGCTGATCATTTGGAGTTATAGTTAAATTAGTATTTTGTTGGACAAAATTATGTGGTGTATGAGGTGTTCTTGGAGTTCCAGGATTTTCCACACTTTGAGGTCTGTCTGGCATAGCTGGACTATTTCCCGTAGACTGTCTTCGCTGCATCTGCATAGGAGATCCTGCTACCATAGGACTTCTAGGCATCATAGGAGAGCTAGGTGGTTGAGTAGTAGTCGAAGAATGATGATGGCTACCATGAAGCATGGGTGAAATTCTGTTCATTGGACTAGGAGGTTGTGAAGTCGGATTCAATTGTTGTTGAAGCATCGGAGAACCCATCGTTGTCTGTTGCACCATGGGAGAATTTGGAGGTTGGCCATAATTTTGTTGAAGTTGCTGATGAAGCTGTGGACTGGGGGAGTTTGATGATTGAGACACCATCGGCGAACTGGGCGGTTTCTGTTGTTGTTGTTGTTGCATTTGTAAGAATTGCCGTTGCTGTTGTTGTTGGAGAATATGTTGTCGTTGCTGTTGAGTCATTTGGAGTGATCTTGGACCAATAGAATTCTGTCCTTCCTGAGAAATACCCTGAGAAACACCTTCATGTTGTTGTTGATGTAAAATTTGTTGACGTTGCTGAGCCATTTGAAGTGATCTTTGAACAATAGAAGTCTGCCCTTCCTGAGAAATGACTTCATGTTGCTGTTGTTGATGAAGAATCTGTTGTCGTTGAACCATTTGCAAAGATCTTTGAGTAATAGCATTTTGTTCTTGAGAAACACCTTCATGTTGTTGCTGTAAAATTTGTGGTCGTTGTTGAGTCAGTTGCAATGATCTTTGAGTGACAGCGTTTTGTCCGTCTTGAGAAACATCTTCATGTTGGTGTTGCTGTTGAAGAATTTGTTGTTGACGCTGTTGAGCTATTTGTAAATTTCTTTGAGCAACAGTATTCTGTCCATCTTGAGAAATGCTTTCGTGTTGCTGGTGTTGTTGAAGGATTTGTTGTCGCTGTTGTGCTATTTGTATTGATCTTTGAACATTTTGTCCCATTTCTTGAGAAATATTTTGCGAAACACTTTCATGCTGTTGTCGTTGTTGTGCTATTTGCAAATGTCTTTGCACAGTAATATTTTGCCCATCTTGAGAAGTACCTTCCTGTTGCTGCTGCTGCTGTTGTTGAAGAATCTGTTGCCGTTGCTGAATCATTTGTAGTGTTCTAGGAGTGATAGAATTTTGCCCTTCTTGAGAAATACTCTGAGAAACAACTTCATGCTGTTGTTGAAGAATTTGTTGCTGCTGCTGAAGAATTTGTTGTCGTTGCTGCGCCATCTGTAAGTTTCTTTGAACAGCAATGACATTATGATTTTCTTGAGAAATAATATCATTCTGTTGTTGCTGCTGAAGAATTTGTTGTCGTTGCTGTTGTGAAACCACTTGCAACGATCTTTGATTAATAGAACTCTGTCCTTCCTGAGAAACGCTTTCGGTTTGTTGTTGCTGAATAATTTGTTGTTGCTGTTGAAGAATTTGCTGTCGTTGCTGAGTCATTTGCAACGATCTTTGAGTAACAACATTTTGACTATCCTGAGAAATGCCTTCTTGTTGTTGTTGCTGCTGCTGCTGCTGCTGCTGAATAACTTGGCGAACTGTTTGCAAATTTCTTTGAGTAACAACATTCTGTCCTTCTTGAGAAATAATATCAGTCTGTTGTTGCTGAAGAATCTGTCTTTGTTGAACCATTTGCAAATTTCTTTGAGTAATAAGATTCTGTCCATCTTGAGAAATATCATTCTGTTGTTGCTGCTGAAGAATTTGTTGTCGAGAAACACCTTCGTGTTGTTGTTGGAAAACTTGCTGCCGCTGCAGTGTTCCCCGAACAAGAGTTCCTTGTCCTTGATCCTGAGAGACACCTTCGTGCTGTTGCTGAATAATCTGTTGCCTCTGCAACAACTGCTGATTCAGTAACTGCTGTTGTCCTGACTGCGGGTTATAAACGATACCTCCTGCTCTCCTCTGTGTCCCTTCTGGTGGCCTAACAAATCTCTGAGTTAAACTATGAACTCTTACACCCTGATCAGTCATCAATTGTTGTTGATTTCGCGTCTCCGGCGTAAAAGTGCCAGGAGATGTTGTCAATCTTCCGCCAATAATGGTTCTGTGTTGTGGTGAAGTCATTCGCGTAGTATTAGGATTGCATAAACCGGGAGAAGGCATTGGTCCAGGACTAAAGGGACTTTCGTCACCTTGAGAATGAGGAGTACCAATTCTTGGCGATTGTTGCTGAACATTATGAGGTGACATTGTACCCGGATTAGTCGACTGAGGGTTGCCTGGACTATGTTGAAGCAGAGGTGTGCCTGGACTATGCTGAACAATTGATGGAGTTGCTGGTGAATGTTGAATCATGCTGGGACCAGGACTTCGAGAGACCAGTGCTGCTGGAGAATGCATCGGAGAATGTTGAGAAGGTGACATCAACGGAGAACAAGGTTCGTTTGGTTGCGATTGAGTCTGTCGTTGTTGTTGTTTGCTCTGATACTCTTGGATCAATTGACCGTGTTGACGCTGCTGTTTACGCGAGGTATCTAAATGTTTCTGAAGAATGGCTTGTTCGCTAGAAACCCGTTGTAGTTCAGCAGCGTCAGTCTCTGTCAGTTCGTTACCAGATTTTCGAAGTTGACGTTGCTTACTATTGAGAGACTGGAGGAAAATAAGATAAACAGAAACATGAAAATGTAGAACAAAGATTTAGAAATTAATATTAAGATTAAAGCCTATTATTATATACTGTAAAGATATTTTAATAAACAATATTACAATATTTAATTAGTTGTAATTAAGATAAAACTAATTTATTGTTATTTACCTTTCTTATTTTACGAAGTTTTAAAACCTCTCCCTCATAATATTTCAATTGTTGCATTAATATTTGATGGTGATTATTAAGCCATTGCTCATAATGCATCTGCACTTGCCGATCTTGCTCATTAACTATATTTTCTGGTGGAGTCGGTGGTGCTGGTTTTTGAGGAATGTTAAACACAGCCACTCTTGCTAAATTAATACAAATATAACCGTATAAAATAAACTATTATATTTAAAAATATACATATTTGAAGAAAAAAAGTCTACATATTTTCATTAGAAATATCAATATTAAATAATTTAAAATATCATAAAAAATGTAAATCATAAGATTTTTTTATCAGAAACAAGCTTAACAAAATTCTAATAACCTTTAACAAAAATTAATAAATAGTAGGTATAAAATTTTTATTTTGTAACTTAATTTACTTTTTATGTTAAATATTTATCTTTTTATCTTAATAAATCAATTAATTCTAACCAATCATTTGACCATTTGTTAAATAACTATTCAAAACATAAATAATAGAAGATTACTAACGTTCAGGTGGAGTCTGCGTAGCAATCGGTTGTCTCGATCCCACTTGCGCTGCTGCCAGTTTTGCCGCCCCATCAGCAGCTACGCCACTTTGTTGCCAATTAGTATTAGATGCAGAAGGTGATCTTGCCGTACAAGGTGGTCTTATCACGGGCACCATACTCTGAGGAGGTGACGTAGTGCCCAAAACATCAGCTTTAAGTTTTTCAAAATCACTGTCACTCAAAAGACTCCCTCCAGGGACATTGTCAGTCTGTTGTTGCTGCTGCTGTTGTTGTTGCTGCTGTTTTTCTTGTTCTCGTTTCTCCTGCTCTAACAGCTCCTCCAGCAGTAATGGCTGCTCCTGTGAACACGACTGCTGACAGTCAAGGTCGATTTTTGATACAAGAAGTGCTACTTTGAAAGTCTAAAAATTTCTCTATTGCATTAGGGTTGAATATTCAATTATAAAGTAAACTAAAATTACAACTACACCTATATAAATAGTAAAACGCAGTTTGTATGTGCAAGACAAAATAAACGCAGATAAAATGTGTGGGTAAAATTTATTGCAAATTAATGTAGATTTATATAATATCTCCTATATAACATTTTTTTATTTGATCTCTGCTATAAATATATAAAGAACAAAGAAATAAAAATTCATAATCTAAATTGATACTGTACATAAATATACATGCAAATTTCAACATTGATGCATTGATTATAAAAAAGCAATATTCTAAAAAGCATCACGTTGCTTTAAAGGAAGAATTAATTAAGCAAAATTTAGTAAAACACATATTTTGTCAATGTTAATAAAATTAATTTCGTGCAATATGAATGCAAACATTTATAAGAACATAAAATCTATATAGACTAAATATAGAAAAGGGGTGCAAAAAGATACAAATGTCAGTGACATTTTTATTTTTAACAATACATAATGAAAATCTAATCAATATAAGAGAATTAAGTTTTCTTTCAATTTTTATCTTATTAATATTTAAATTTAATATATATGTTACATTCTCTCTCTCTCTCTCTCTCTCTCTAATAAATAAATTAATAAATAAATATTTCTTAAAATATTTTTTACTATATTAATTTTTCTATTTAGCATATAACATAGCCTATGATAAATTTCTTTATTTTCTAATTATATAATATTCAAAAATATTTAAAGTTCTTCGGAAGTTAAATATAAAATAATTTTTATTTAGATTTATTTGTTCTTGTATTAAAGTGCCCCGAATCTCGCTCACCTGCAGAAGCAAAGGTCTCCGGTGAGGGTGTGGCACCACAGGTCCCATCGGCGGACCCGCCACCGGTACCTGGTGCCCCGTCATATGAACCGAGGGCCGCGTCATACTTCGCCCACCACCACCACCCGGGCACAGTCCCATCTAGACACATGCACCAACACCAAATGCATATTGCAAACTTGCACACCCAGGCCAAAAACACCAGCCAATTTTCTTACCACACATTTTCATTGCCATTTAAACATTTTCCAGATTTATATTAATTTATATTTACATCATATGTAATTAAAATGTAACAAGAATATAAAAAATTTGCATCAATTTTAAAAATATTTATCTAAAAAGCAATTATTTTTAGAATTTTGAATCAATATAACTTGTAAATATTTCAAATATTTTTCAATATTTTTTTCGCTTATAATAATTTTATATGAATATTGTATTTATAAAAGAGAATAAAAAGATATTTATCTAATTAATAAAATATTGAACTCAATTGTTATTATTAACATATATTAGTAATAGCTTATAACGTCTCTCGACACAGAAAATGTTTTTGGCATTAAAAATGTTAGATCTATTATTTAGCTACGCCTACAATCACAGCAATTTTTTTAGTCTTAGTTTCGCTGATCAAATTATTTTAAATAAAGCATGATTTTATTATAAATTTGTTATCGTTTAAATATAGTAATAAAAATATGTTAATTGAGTAATATATATTTAAACTTTTTACTAAACAATTTCCTTATAATTTATTACTGTAATTATTAAAAATTATTTTATAAAATATACTCTCACTTAAAAGGAATTCTCATATAAATATACTTTGAATAAGATTACAGAAAATATTTTTTAACGTATATTTCTAAAAATATCTATTATCTTAAAATTGCAGCAAAATATGCAAAATTACTGCTATTTGATACTGCACAGCCGCACAAAATATTTTTGAAATAAATTCAGCAAATATACGAAACTGACTGACACATATTATACATGCAATCATAAAACATTTTATTAATTATGTATTAATTATGTATAAAACGCTAAAACAAATTGTGTTATATAATTAATTGTATGTATTTATTAATAGAATTTTATGTGAATTATCGATTACAATTTGTTATTGAAATTATCAATATTTTGTTTTTTCCGTTCATAAATTTTTGTGATTTTGTAAATTTCCTACATAAATCTTAATTTTTGTGTAATATATATATATATATAATTTTATACGCACGCGTCGCGCCATGCATACACGCATACGCATACACGCAAAACACACACACACACACACACACACATACACGCACGTGCGCGCGTGCGCAAATTGTAACATGTAACTATTAAGTTATAAACTTATAGTTATTAGACCTAAATTTTCTTATAATAATTATCATTATAAAAATTTTTGTAAGAGCATCAAAACATATTTAATTTACCAATTTAATCTCTTTACTTCAATTTATTAATTTAATTCTCTCGCAATTACATGAAAATAATTAAATTCAAAGCAATGCATGAGTTTTCAAAAAGACTAATATAAACATCGACTTACCTGTATCGGTCCAGGATATGGCGGTGGAGGTCCGGGGTACGGGGGTGGTGGTGGTGGTGGCGGCGGTGGTGGTGGCGGAGCCAATGGCATCCTGGGACCAATCATATGATTTACAGCAACCACTCTGCCAGTCATATTTGGCACCCCCGCTACTCGCATGCCCAGCCGTTGCTGTTGCGAAACTATAATAAAAATAAATGTTATAGATATTGTCAAAATTAAAAAGGGTAAACAATGAGTAAAATAACCAAATTTTGGCCTAAACGATAAATGTGATTTTTGACACTTTCCCATCATATCAGTTTGAAAATAACGTTTGCAAATAATTGACATATCAACAATTATAAGAAAACATGCATAAAAAAGATTCCATCGTTTAGACCAAAATTTGATTATTTTACCCATCGTTTACCCCTTTGTATAAAATATAATGTAACACAAATATTGTATAAAATATTTATTATTTTATATATTAGATAAAAGATAGGATTATTATATCTATAACTCGAGATTCTTGTAAAAATTTAATTTTTTACACAAAAAATATAATATTTCAAGATAAACGAATAATATATTGTTATAAATGATTTTTTGTTTAATTTACCTTGTATATGTGCCTGTGAAAGTCTCTGCGGATGTCCGGGGAAATTCGATGGATAGCTCACAGTTACCGTATTTGTAGAAGTCACCACTCCAATCGCTCCTCCATCTGGTGAAACTAACCTCGTTCCTGGTATCATCGGTCGGCCCATTACTGCCGCCTGTTGCACTTGTTGATGCAATTGCTGCTGCATTACTTGAGCCTGCATTGCCTGCGATGTCGTCTGCGGCGTTGTCATTGTCGGCACGTTGGAATTTTCTGTCAGAGTCAAACTCGTGCTCGTCGAGCAAGAATCAGTAATTTCAGAGGGTGGACCAGTCAGTTCTGGTTTCGAATCTTCCTCCCTAGTTTCCTTTTTTTGCTTATCGTCTTTGGGATCAACTTCGACTTGTTCGAGATCCAGATCAAGAATATTGGTCTTCTCCCCACCTGTGATCGTGTCCAGTTCGGGATCGGCATATTCCAAAATGTTGAAATCCGCTCCCATTTCGGCTGCAAAAATAAATTAATTTTAAATTTTGTGTTAATTTATATAAAATTATAAGAAATAAGAAAATTTTTTCTATTTAATCCTAAATTTTGAAATTAAAGATTCTTCATATTTTTTTAAATATGCAACACAGACTTACCGAGCAGTTCGTCATCATCATCTGCCAAATCTCCTAATATTGCACTGACTCCTTCAACTTCGACCATTGGACCAGCTCCTTCCTGCTCCAGCTTTTCCAATTCAGCTGTCACATTGTCGGGAATCTCGGATGCTTCTGAAGTAGCCACTCCCGTGGTTTCGCTCATTGTCGTGGGGACGAGTGGCGCTCGGACCATCCCTGGAGTTGTGCTCAACATGCGAATACCTTGGCTTAAATTGTCCTGTGCTGTCCGTGCAACGCGCTGATTTTGCGTTTGATTCACATCTAGAAAAGATATTTTTACAATATTGGGACATATGTAATTAATAATCCTTCTTCATCCTATTAATGTGAAAACTATTAAAATTTTTAAATTTCTTACTTTTTATTTATTAAATTTTGATTTAGAATAGAATCCTATCTTAAAATTGCCGTGTTACCTGCGTTGAAGCCTCTTTCCCCCAATGTTTAAAAATTCATATCTTCCAGAAAAATATAGACTTCTTTCTAGGCTCATTTTAAAGATGAATTAGGTGGCTATTTTTTAAGAAATCGTGATTTTATTTAAAAATAGCCGATTCAAAATGGCCGATTAAAAATTCCTCATTTTTTTGAAAATTGTTAAAATTTGTTTAATTAAAATGTAATTTGATATAAATGTTATTGAACGATGTATGGAGTTTAATACGCACCGCGCGCAAAGCGTCATTTTTTTTGAAAATTTATTTTTTATCAAAAATTGTTAACATTTGTTTAATTAAACTGTAAATTGGTATAAATGTTTTTGGAAGATGTACGGGATTCAATACGCAGCGCGCGCCTGTTATGTACTAGTATATAAAAAAGCGAATTCTATAAAACTTATTATTTTTACCTTTTCAAAAACAAATAACTTTTGAACGTCTTCTGAATCGTTTCTTTAAAAAATGTATTCTCAAAATATTTTCTAAAAATTCTTTTACCTGTAAATCTCTGTTGCTGTAAAATGTCATAAGATTCAGAAATGGTATTTCTTGCTGCTGGCATTCGTGTTTGGAGGCTTTGAGTTGCCTGAAAATGCTGTTGAGCAGGTATATTCGTAGCTTGGGATCTATTCGGCAGTAATGTCCTGGTACGATGGTCAATCGGATTCTGAATATTTCCTGCTACAGGATGTCGCGAGTTTATTCCTGAATTCATATATCACACACAAAAACTTTATATGAAAATCAAAAGTTTTACATAAAAAATAAGTCAACGATATAACAATAAATTAAATATACGAACAAATAAATTAATTTTGTGAGGGTAAATATTAGAGAGGATATTTCAATAAATTATATAAATGTATAAAAAGTTAAATTATTATACAGCAAGTAATATTGTTTGCTATATATAGAAGTATAATATAATAAATATTAATATTTATACATTGAAAATTATAACAAATAAAAATATCACATGCGTACCAATGGAATTTCTTATTAAGACGTTCGATTGAATGGGCATTCTGGGTCTAACGATGCCTGGCGGAAGTGGATGTCTAAAAGTGCCTTCGCTAGAATTGTTTTGTACTTGAGAGTGTTGTTGAAGCTGCACATGACCCGCTTCAAATTGTTGCTGATTGTTCTCTGTATTATTCTGACCATCTGAATCATAAATATAAATGATATGTGTGAAAATATAATTTTATTATTAAATTTTAATTTAGTTAAGTCTCAGGAAATACATGATATTTGACACAAAATATCCATTTATTGTACAAAAATTACAGAATAAAGCATACCTTGAACCCAATTGGCGCCAACTCCTTCAATCTTCTTATTAAACTGTTGCCTTTGCAGTAAGTCCCTCAATTGTCTATTGACTTCCGGTTGCTGCCCGAAAGCCGCTTCTTGTTCCTGAGGTGTTCGAGGAGTCTCAGAACCTCTGGGCGATGGATAGCTAGGTGCGGCAGGGGCGGATGTAGGAGTAACAGGTGGCTGACTGTAAGGATCAGGAGTTCGCGATGTTGCAGGAGAAGGGGGCGGAGGCGGAGGAGGAGGAGGAGGGGGAGGAGGAGGAGGAGGAGGAGGAGGAGCATAAACAGGGGGTCGTGGAGGATTAAACACAGGGGTACGGGGTGTACCTGGTGTCTGGGGTGATGAATAAGGAGATGCAGGAGTTGAGACATTGCCCTCGAAGCGCTGGAAATGTGATTCTTGAGAAGGTTGAGAAGAGGCAGGGGACTGTGGAAAATCATGAGGTGATGGAGGTGCCTGCGGTGAGAAAGGAGACGGTGGTTGAGGAAAACCCGGACGTATACCCCGACAAGGTGCTTGCGCAGGCAGGCGTACCATAGTTTGATGATGAGGTGATTGAGGTGTGAGACTGCGAGGGGCTTTGAGTGAAGGTGTAGCAAAAGTACTGCGAGAAGGCGAGGCTAGGGAAGTCAGTTGGCTCGTATCCTGCATCAAAATTTTAGAATTGATATTAGATTAATGTTACATAAATTATTTTATTTTATATATATATATATATATATGTGTGTGTGTGTGTGTGTGTGTGTGTGTGTGTGGTGTGTGTGTGTGTGTGTGTGTACACATATACACATATAGGTATATGTTACTTTGTATTTTTTATTTTTAAAGCAATTTGTAAGTGTGCATATCGACAGTTTAAATTTCAGTTTAAATTTGCATGTATCATATCAGGCATATCATATTCTATTCTCGCTAATTCAAAATAATTTTATTAAACAATTATTAATCAACATATGTAGACAATTAAAGTAGAAAAAGAGTAAACAGACTTACTTGTGCTGTAGAAACTTGTAATTGAGCCGTTAATGCAGGTGTAGTATCATTACTTAACTGAGGTGTATTTTCCTCGCTAATTTGTCTATGTACTCTGGCAATCGCTTTTAACAGAAAAGAAATATATTATAATTAAGTATTAGCAAATATATTATAATTGCAATTTATTTTACATTAACATAATTCTTTTTATTATAGTTAGAATTAAATATAGTAAATGTACCATGTACGCGTTGCTCGTGGATGACCTGCTGCTGTAATTGTGCTTGTTGTTGACGTAAGGCTTGCAATTGTTTCCATTGTCGCTCTTGCTCAGCTTCTCTGGTCGATCGATCTCTGTTTGATATTCTGTCCTGTTCCTATTAAAAAATCAATTACATACATAATTTTCAAGCTTTTTTTAAAAAAGGTCATTACATTTGATATAATTTTTTTTTTAAATTATATTATTTTATTAAAGCTATTATTAATAATTGTATCAGTGAAAAATTATAATAAAAAATTGAGAAATATTAAAATTAACATTTTATTAAATTTTTAGTTTATTTTACTATATTGTGATATTTTCATTAATTATTATTAAATTTATAATTTTGTTTAATCTTATTTATAAATTTAACGCAAAATTTAATAAACATAAAAAATATATACATACATACATATATAAATATATTCACATACGAAATGTTATCAATCAGGGAAATCAATTTTAAAATGTAATGACCTTTTCTTATAAAGCACAGGTAAATATAAAGCACTAATTACAATCAGCCAATAAAAAGTATTCACATACATAATGCCAAAGATCTGAAAAAATATTCAAAGAGAACTAAAAAAGAAATATTAACTTTCTTAGTCCTGTATTATTTCCATATAAAAAGTAAATATAATTTCAAATTTTTGGCCATATTTTGTATAAACACTTTTAAAAGTAACAATGATATTACACAACTAAATTAATAATGATTAGCAAGATTCTGTAAATCTCGTATATGTGCAAACACACTGGAAACAATTATAACCAGCCACCATATATTAAAACAGATTAATATTATTATTTATAATATTAGTATTATACACGCACGCGCACGTGTATTAATCAATTTATTTAAAGAAAACTTTATTCACGGTCAAAAACACAAAACACCACAAACACCACAATCTCGCCGAAGATTAATGCAACAATTTTTACATTCATGCATATCCAAATGTTGAATAATTCCAGTAATTTTACATAACAAAATACAATCATAATAAAATGTGTTATGTATATAGAATATAACAGATCTAACACACTGTTTGCTAATTAATTTGTTGACTAAATTCCTAAGGTCACTTAAAGATAAAAATTTTAATTTAAACTGTTAGAGTTGTGTAATAGTTTAATAACTTTTCATTTTTAAATAAGAAATACTTAAAGTTACAACATTGTACAGTATATCGCACATACAGTAGAATAAAGATATAAAGATAGATAAATTAAATATAAATAGAATTTAATAGAATTGACATTAATTGGAATGATATAAAAGACATTATTAGACAATGACACTTCAGTTTTTATGCTTTTGACTATTTGTATTTTAACATAAATATTTTATATTGTTTATATTATTAGCATGCACAACAAATTAATTACTTTTAGATAACGATATTTTTTATGTAAAAATTCTTATAATTAATACTTTGATATTAAAATTTTCATTTGTAAGTGACCTTAAGAATTTATCATTGGAAGATGCAATAAATCTAAAATACCCTCTCGGAATGTATCTAAACATAAATACAATAAGTATGTTGAAAAATACATCTGTAGTAATTAGAAAAAAAATACAAGAAGCTATATCTCATTCCTTCTAGAAAAGGTAAAAAAAATTCGTATTTGTTTAATAAATTTCCATATTATTCCTATTTCTTTGTTTCTTTGGGTTATAATTTATTTGCTATATCTATTTGTTTGATGCTTTTATAGTACATTTTAGCTTTAAAACAGATAAGAAAAATTTTTAATTATATGAAATTGAAATTATATTCGTAATAATTTAATGGAAGGAGGAAAAATCTGAAAGAATGTAAAGAAACAAAATTAGTATTAAGCTACTGCATAACCATTATAGAGCAATATACTGTAGTACACTAATTGATCAATCACCCACAGCAATAAAAAATCATAAGCAATATCAATGGATTCAAAGGATAAGAAATGAGTAATGATTCGTGAATTAGGATCGATAGGGATATAAATAACAGGATAGAGTAAAACATATCCTATTCTTAAACATGCTATTGGAATATTTTTGAATTGTAAAAGAAATATGTATAAGTATACACTACCAAAATACTCTCTATTACAACGGCGACCTGATAAAAATGTTCAGCATTCTGTATTTAAAAAAAATACTTCATATTTAAATAAAATTCAATTAGAGAAAAACTGAAAACAATTATAAAAATATGCAATTATTAATTAGAAAAATAATTAAAAAATTAAATAGATGTAAATAAAATTAAACTCTTTAAACTCTTCAAGGCAAAATATTAACAATGACGCTAAACGAAGCTACAATGTGATTTATATATTAACCATAGTCCTATAATATGAAGCATGAAACACGTATTTAAGGAGTAAAATCTTCGTTTACAATATTTTAAATAAAATACATATACATGTATACAGGGAGAACACTAGTCTCGATCAGATGCAAAGAGAAAGGCAAGAAAACACTACAGAGGCTCTCACCATGATGTTATTCGGGTGGTGGTGGTGATGGTGGTGGTGGTGGTGGTGGTGATGGTTCTGTACGGGAGGCACAGTGTGAACAATTGCAGTGGGTGGTGGTGGCGGAGGTGGGGGGTCGTAGTGCTCCTGGCTGAGGGACGGAAGGGTGCGCATGATCTCGGACGGAGTGAGCACTCGGATCTGATGCTGATCTATGCTACTGCTCCCGCCGCCACTGTTAACGACAATCGAGGGTGGACGTTGTTGGAGGGATTGCTGTCCTTCACCCGAATTGTTGCAATGAGAAAAAGAAGAGGAAGAAGAAGACGTAGAAGAAGACAGAGAGGACGAAGAAGCTGGTGTTGTGCAAGATTGCAAGGCAGATGACTGTTGGTTTCTAGGAGCCTCGGGGGAGAGGGAGGGGCTGGGCGGGGTTCCCTGCACCCCACACACCTCCTGATGCTGATTGTTGCTGGTTGACATCATTCCAGTGGTCATCAACATTCCTGATTGCTTTTCCATGGGCCTCAGACCCACTCCCTGCTGCTGCTGTTGCTGCTGCTGAGCCGTCATAGCGGCGGGTTTGGTGATGATGGTAGTCATGGCGGTGGTAGTAGTAGCAGTAGTGGTATTCATATTGATGGTGGTGGTATTGGTGGTGGTTATATTGGTAGTGATGATAGTGTTGGTGGTGCTTGGTGGTGGTGTCTCCTTGGAGAGCTGTCGGATTAACACCGGGCGGTTCGCAATCACACGATGCGATATACACATGAGGATGTTTCGCATAAAGCAATCTTATATAACAACATATTTTATAACACTGCTTCATTTTTAAATGGTATCACATAGATAAAGATATATATATATATATATATATATATATACATACATGTATATCTATTTTTATCTACACACACACACACACACACACACACACACACACACACACAGAGACACACTCACACAAAGATAAATTGTATTAAAAATTTTAATATTTTAATCAGATTTCAATTTCTCAAAATTTTTAGTTTTATAAGCAAAAGTTCTTGCATCGTCTGAGAAATATCTGAACCAATCAAAAGAAAATAGAAAAACAGAAAAATATAAAAAGAAAAAATTACTTTATACATATAAATAAGTATTATATAAATAGGAGCTTTTTCCTGATTTTCCTAATTTTTTTTTTCTTGTTATCTCTCAATGGATTAATACTTTTGTTCCATTTTTCCTATGTATGTTCAGAATTTTCTATTATACTAAAGTAGTATCAAAATAACAATTTTATGAGAAACATCCTGCACGTAAAAAATGATATAATGGGCCCGAACGAGGCGACATAAAAATTAGTCGCACTCAATACAAAATTTCGATTATTAACATATATTAGCCTGTTTACTTTCTATTTACGAAACACATAAAAGCAAGGTATATATGGATTTTCTGGACTCGATGAATTTATGGATCTACAAAAAACCGAGAATTTGTGAGGATTCTTATTGGATGTATCTAAATACTATTGTACCGGTTGTGGTTTTAAATATTATACATATCTAAGTTTAATTCATAAAGCAGCGACATGAATGGATAACAGGGTTCATTCATCTACACACTTACGAATCAAGATTTATGAATCATAAATTTATAAATTGATGAATTTGTGTAGATCCACATCTAAGCACATGCAGATCTATAAATCAGATTTATAGATCCCAGATATACATATAAATATTTATACGTGTCCCAGATTTTAATAATCAATTTGTCAGTTTTGTAGATATAAGAAAAAGTTTTTGGAACTTTTAAATAAATCTTCAATAAAAATATTCACATAACATTTTTTCTTATTGCTATTCATAAAATATATTGACATATTTTGATTGTTAAAACTTGAGGCACTATAATATATTTCTCTATTTTAGAGCTTTGTATATACTTGTAAATGTTTTTATGAATATTTCTATTCTTAACTTTTACATAGAGGACATAAGATTCTCTTTTTACCTCATTTGGACCCACTATATAAAGACCCATTTACATTCAATTCTATCTTTGAGCGTGATCTATTATTAATAGCTTACAATATTTTCTACTGCTGAAACTAGATAGATAAAAATTTATTTACGATTTAAAATATTTTGCATCATAAAAAATTCAATTAAAAATTTTTTTCGAGATTTTTTCCTTCTAAATTTTTTTTATTTTTCAAGTCGCTTTCTTTAGAATTGCAATAGTGCAATTATTTCTGATATTGTAAATAATAGATTTCATCATTCTATTTCTCTCTCTCTCTCTCTCTCTCTCTCTCTCTCTCATCCTGTCTCATTTATAATAAAATTTATATTTATACGTTTGTAGTGAGCTTTTTAGTAAGAATGCATAAATGTAAAATGAAATCCATTATTTAACTTTAAAATAAAAACTATTTTAATTATTATTTTCACGTATTTTTTTATCCCTGAATTTAGAGAAAAAAAAAACAATTCAGATAAAATCCAATCTTCATGAAAGATGGACTATTTTGTTTTAATTAACTAATAATACTGGTAAAAAATTCTTAAGTTCTCAATAGGAACACGATAGTTTACACACAGAACTGTCGAGCTGTTAGTCTCACTTGAGTGTTAGCACAAGACACGCTCGAAAACAAAAATCCCAATAAAGAATGTCTAGAAATACTGGTTATCCCAATAAATTATCGCGTTTCTGTCAGCCATAAATCCTGACTGAAGAATTAACGCATAAAAACATATGTGATAATTAAAGTCTATGTCTCTTGTTTCTACAATATAAACATCAATTACCTGTTGTGTCTTCTTCATGCGAATCGCAGCTCGATTATCTCGAGCCTGAGTCAAATATGGAGCTTTCTTATCATTTGGAAGTGCTCGCCATTTCTTTAGGATTTGCTTACATCTCTCGGCCCATACTACATAAAATAAAGATATTCATTAAAATAATAATATTATAATTCATGATTTTGAAATTTAATTTCAATTTTTGACAATCAATAGATGGAAAAAATATTAAAAATCTTAATAAAACAAAATTCTTAAAGATAAAATATTTAAAATACCTAATTTTAAAAATGTACTCTTACCTGGAAACTCAGTTTTCCATTCAGGATGATTAATATTAGCATAGAGAACCGAGGATATTGTCGCTGCAGTGCCTAATGCTTCGTCGGCCTCCATCTTTTGATTGCTTCTTTGGTTGTATGAAATGGTAGCATTGCCTGCTGGAGCGTTTCCTTCGTCTTCAGGATTTACCCATGGACTAGGTGGCTCCGAAAATGCCGGACTAAACTGTGGACTACTAAAAAATTTAAAAAAATAGTTTACATTTACAAAAATAAAAATTGCACATATCAAAGTGCATATACATATTATACATACAGTTTATAAATTTATTTTATTTTATTTTGATTATTATTATTAATATTATATTAATTTAATTTTGATATTTTTTAAATATATTTATTCTTACTTGCTGTATTCGGAGTGATATGGTGAAGGCGGTGGGAAACTCATTGGAGAATTTAAGTTTGATTGGCCAACCGAAGGTAGAGCACCAGGTACTTGAGGTCTTGCTAAAGGTATTGCAGTTTGAATGCCTATAAAGCAATTGAATTAAATAACGTATAAAATATATAAGATTATAGTATAAAATAATCTATATAATTCTAATTTTTTTATAAACAATAATATAATTCATTTTATTCTAATATTAAAAAAGCACAACAAATCTCTGATACCTATGTCAAGATATTCTCTTTATCTTGCATACTCAAACATTATCTTAAAATATATTTTAGAATCACAGATTTATTAAATAACGTTAGCTAATAAATAACTTAATTTTAATTTCTTTTTCATTTTTTCTGTAATAACTATCGTAATTTTACTATTATTTTAATTTATTTTTGCAAATTCTAGAATTTAACGTTATAGGTCATTTACATAATTTTAATTATTATTTCATTTAATTATACTGATATATTTGCGTACTTACCAGAATGAGGAGAGGGCGATACTAAAGGAGTAGTAGATGTCGAGGGATGCGAAGTTGGAGCTTGCACAGAAAATACCGATGATTCCTGAGACTCCTGAGATTCATCAGTCAGAACGCCTTTAAATATTTCCTCAATATCTTTACTGTCCATATTAGGTAATCCTTAAACAAAGATAATATTCAATTTTGTATTCAGTTGATTATATTCGAATATCCTGCTGAGATAATATTAAAATTTCAATAAAATTATATTCTATTATCCTAAATAAATATCCTAATACATATACTGTCTACGTAATATTTAATGTTTACTTAAAAAAAACTTACCAGTGTCTCTGACCATTGACTCTAAATTAAAATGTGGACTGAGGATATCCGTCAATTCATCTTTACTTCCAGCTTGAGCATCATCTAACTCGTCCAATGCTTCGCTTGCTTTAGCTAAGTCCTCATCGTTTTCATTCATTATTGTATTTACTAGATCGCTATCCAATAAATCCCCGGAAATTGGTAAAATATCTCCGAGTGCTTCAGTATCGCTCCCATCATCTTCCACGATTTCTTCTCTTTTGATTTGTTCAGGAGCAATCTTTTCGTCTTCTTTTTCTTGTTTTGCTTTGACTTGTTCCATTACCTTCAATTCATCTTGTGATAACTGAATTGTATTGGCATTTTCAGGAACTTTGTGTTCTTCTTCGGATTCGCTGCTGCTTTCAAGATCTTTCTCCTTCGTTGTATCCATTAAATCCTTGCCAAAAAATGCTTCTTGCATGTAAATAGGAAAACATTCTGCCAGTTTCGTTTTCGGCTTTCTTCTCTGAGGTTTCCTTCGAGGTTTATCGTCCCCCATTCCTACAATTGAAGATTCTCCAGGTTTTTCAGCATCCCCTTCTTCTTCTTTGTCTTTCCTGGTTCTTAATCGTACAATAAATCCTCCAATTCCTAATTTTTGCAGATTTCTTTGACGTTTTCTTCGCAAAACAGGAAGTCCATTTTCCGAAGTGCAAATGCTGAAGCCTTCTGGAGCAGGCTGATTCCATACCATACCTTCTTTCAACACTGTTTCTGGTTCATCTTTAACATCCATCATTTCTAATTTGTTATTTTCCTCTAAAGAATTGTCCAAACTTCCTCCAGCAACGACAGATTCAATAGTCGCCATAATGTCTGCTTCTTTATCCACCATCTGAGGCTGTTTTCTTTTCTTTTTTCTTGTTTGCTGATGTTCTGCAGTTAAAGATTTGATATGATTCATCCCAACTTCGGAAAGATATACTCCTTCGACCAGATACTGTTGCGAGGAAGCTTTGAACAATTCTGTAGTCCGATTTTGAGGCGGAGACGATGACCGAATGAATTTTGAAGAAGGTTTAGAGAGAAGATGAGGAGGAGGAACATCTCTAGGACGACAGAGAAGACAAACGTAACCTTCCTCGGCGCAGCGTTCGGCCTCAACTTCACTTTTAATCGAATCACAACCGCAGTGAAGCCATCTTTCGCACTGTATGCATTGAATGATGAGATCACCCTCTTGATAAGCTTCTTGACAAGCCACGCAAGCAGTATGAGAAGCGCAGGGTCCGCACTGAGTGTAACTTTTCTGCCAGGATGAATTGAAGCCAGGATCGTTGGAACCACAAGTCTGACATTGCGCACACCACTTGCACTTCCATGTGCCGTGCGGCACATAGTCTAAGGGCGGATCCATACAATAAATGTGATAGCTGATATCGCAGTCGTCGCAAAGGATCAAGCGAGCTTCGTCATTTCGTTCACCACAACCTTAAAAATAAAGCAAAATTTTATACTGGCTCATATTTAGAAGATAGAAACTAGAGGGAATAGAAACCAATAAAACGAGCAAACAAGAGATGTAATATAATCATATAATTTAATTCGACGTAAAAATAAAACATTCTATTAACATTAGAATGTCCGATGGAATTATTTCGGCTTATTAAAAATTTTCTAAATTAAACGTTACAAAATTATTAAAATTAATAAAATTATCTGGCAAGATATTTTATAATTCTATTAATTTTTTTAATTATCACTGTCGGGCATTTTAAATTAAAATATATATGAAAATATTAAAAATTTTTCAATACCTTCGCAGACAGTACAGTCGAGACATCGCCAGCCTTTCTGCAAGATGACCTTAGTGATCTTAACGCCAGCGCAATATGGATGATAACACTGGCCACATTGTACGCATGCAATTAAACAACCTTCCTGATCCATACCAATCGAGCCGCACATCACACAAATATCCTGAGTTAAAACAAATTTATCCTTGGCCGAACATAGGATCAATCTGTTTTCACCGCCAAGCTGTTCTTCTTCCTTCGATTGGGATGAATCTGGATTTGGACTCTGCAATGTTGAAGAGGAAAATTAATTTATTTAAATTACAGACTTATACAGGTTTATTTATTGATAAATAAGAAATAAAATTTAATGTAAAATTGATATAGAATTCTACATAAATACACATTACAAATTTTTTTAAGCTATCCTTTATTATTAACTATTATACCTGCAAACCCACTTCGGGCACTCCATAAAACCCTCTCATCTTTCCCTTGGGCCCCCTCTTTCTTCCAAACTCTGTCATTTTCTGCCGCTTCTGATAGCCCAGTTTCCCGATACCTTTGGGTCTACCGATAATTCCGCCGCTAATTCCCAATCTTTTTTTCGCGATTTTTGTGGCACAAAACGGTTTCCCTTTTCCTAATCCGACTGAATAAAGCGCTTCTTCGGAACAACCACTTGGATAATCTAATTCAGAAGATTCACCATCGAGGCTCTCTTGAGAAGCACTTAGACTTAAATCGCCTTCATCGATACTGTCCTTCCGTCTGGCCACCATGGCAATGCTCTTACAGTGCAAGCAAACGTATTCGTAATCCGGCTTCGCCTCTTTGCGTTGTTGATAAGTAAGCGGGTCAGCTTCGGGATCACATGTGCCGTGTACGAACTTTTTGCAACCATGACATTGAACCATCTCGCGATATGCCGCAGCTCTACAAAGAGCAATTAAATAATAAACATATAATAAGAATACACATATAACACAAATATAAACATATGTAATTCTATATTTGAATCAAGATTGATTCATTAAAAATAACAATATCAAAATAACAATAAAAAATCAATAAAGTAATACATATCAACATTACAATAAAAATTCTACAAAAATTTCAAAAATTATGTATTTAGTAATTTTATTTAACTTCAATAAAATATTGTAATTGGTTAGATATTACAAACATTTGCAAAAGCGCACGAGATATCTCAGTTACCTGTATGCCTTCCTGCAGAGTGGACAAGAGAAGCCCTTGTTGCGCTGCTGATAGCATGAATCACAGACGGTATAATGAGAATGCCATCTGGAAGATAGCCCAGCTCCAGGAGTACGTGAACCACAATCAGTACATACGCGGCAACACTTGCACTTCCAACCATATTTTGGAATGGAAGTGACAATTGGTCGCAGACAACCAGGATGATAAGCCTTGTCACATCGTTCACATAGCATTACCTATAACAAAAATTTTGTTTTACAAAAAGGACAAATGCATATATTATTAAAATGTATTTTTTTTTTAATTTTATATATTTTATATATTATTTTATATAATTTTATATATTATTTTATATATTTTTAATTTTATTTGTTACCTGTAATATTTTAAGATCTATTAAGACAGTGTATATTTGGTATATTAGAAAAATAAATAAATGTGTTACTGTTAATGTTTGCACAAATGCAGCGTGTATCAAGGAATCAGTTTTTATATAATTCATTCTTTCCCCTCTCTGTATTTATTATTATTTATTCTGTATCCATTCAAATTTCTAACCTTAGAAACATCCTCAGGTTGCCGACAAACTTGACACACACGGCAAGATACGCATTGCCATCCAGCACGCACTCCAGGTAGTAACGCCAAGCCCACGCAACTACCGTGATAATGTTGGCCGCACACGGAGCACATCACTAGATTCGAGACATCACCCATTCCATAACATTGAACGCAAGTTACCTCTCCACATACTGTAAAATTTTTTTATATTCGATTACTTTTTTTATATAAAATCGGAGCATCTGTATGTACATATACATATATGCTACTGTAATAAAAGCAGCTACTGTAATAAAATACAGTAGCTGCTATACATTAATTAGGCATCTACATGCATAAATTGAATTTAAACAAAATTCAGGCAATCCTATTTGTAATAATTAAGCAAAAAAAAAAGAATCGCATAATAAAAACTACTGGAAAATACATCTGTTATTATACAATATTTATTTGATATTATATAGTTCAACGTTCGTGAGTGTGATTTCGTTTGCAATAACAGCGCTTTAAACCCATAAATTTAATTTGCAGCGTTACAAGCGTTATAGCGTAAATATTGATAAAAATTTTTTTCTATTTATGTATAAAAAAATGTTTAGAATTTGGACTTTCTACAATTTATTTATTTCTTTTATTTTATTTTCAAATATTAAATAAAGATTAAATAACAAAAAATTTTAAATAAAATAGTAAAATTAAAAAATAAGAAACTTACATAAAAGCGGGACTTGGCCAAGATGCTGACTGCAGAAAAGGGCCAAATTCTTAGTATCTTGAAAGCAACTGCTGGCCGCAGCACACGGAAAATGAAAATAACGATTGCACGAGGTCACCTGTTGAATACCGCAATTGGTTATAAATGAACAATCATTTAAATTGTGAATATAAAAATCTTTCCGATTTTTATCTTATATAATTCTTTTTAAATGTGTAATTTTTAACAATTGTTTATATTTTTATATTCTTCTACTATAATTCCTATCTTTTATAATGTTATGATTAAATTATAACTTACTTTACAAGGAATTCCAGCACCATAATGCGAACAATAGGCGCAACGTCTTGAGGAAGCCTGTAGAACGGCACGACATGCCAATTCTGGTAATAAATTTTGACTGTTGCTAGACCAGATGATACATGACTGGTGGACATAGTAATAGCCAGTCGAGGAATCGAACAGAACCCCGACTTCCGGCTCTTCCAAATAACCTACGATTGTCAATTCTTCCACCGGTTCCGTGAAATTAGTTAGACTAGTATTCCTGTAAAAAATTATAATATACAAATATCTTCATGTATTTTAATTGTTTTAATTGTGTAGCATTTTCTATATATGTCAACAATCACACTCGATTACAAAAATGCTATAATTAATTCGTAATACAATATTTTTACCTGCATTTGGCTAGACTTTTTTGCCTACGACAGGTAACGGCAATTCCAGGTCCAGTAGCACGCGGACTTTTATCTCCTGCGACAACGACATTGACAAGATGATCAGTAGCTGTTTCATCGCGATTCGTCGGTTTTTCAGGGGTAAAACCTGGCGGACATGTCAGGCGCAAGAGTTCACCTTGTCCCAACTGACTCCTTTCGCCTAAATTGCATAACGCGCATACTTTGCCGGGCCTAGAAATATTTATAAGTTTTAAATATCGTTAAAAATATTCAAATTTTCTTTCCTTTTAATATTTTATTTTGTATGTATTTAATTCATCAAAATAATTTCACAAAACATGGAAAATTTTTTTTTAGAAATTGAATTATATATGACATTTCATAATATTTTAAATTGCTCAAATTTATTTGAAATACAAAATAATTTCAGATTAGAAAGGATTATTTTACCATTGTTCAGGAAAGTAAGGAGGTTCCTCGGGCGCCGGCATCGACCTATCGACCGAATTTCCTATCAATTCACCACTACCATCAGGACCAGTATCATCCATCCCAGTGATACGTAAAGGACTTGGAGATTCGGAGTGGGTATCATCATCTTTACTTTTAGTGCGACGCGGTACACCTCTTGTGTATCCAAATCTGTAAAATTAAATAATAAATACCAAAAAATGACATGAGATTCATATATATTCTATTAAAGACATAATTATATAACATGGTACATACACATACACGCGTGCGCGCGCGCATGTGCGTATGTGTGCATGCATGGCAATGTGAATATGTGCGTACTAAAATGTTCAAATAATAATTATAATAACTAAACAAACCCTTTGCCTCTGGTACTGCCCCTTCCAAAGGATCTTCTAGTACCCCCTCCTCGAGTTAAACCAAAAGGTCGTTCTTTCCGAGGCCTACCAGGTCCACGACGAATATTTAAAGGTTTACCACCAGGTAATGGAAATTTTGAGTATCGCAGCGGATCATGAAAAGCCTCATCTGGTGTAACTAGAAAAAGAAAAAAATAAAGATAAATGTAAAAAAATAAGTTTCAAAAAAGATAAATAATATTGAATTAATTAAATAATTAATATTAAATATTGCACACATATATTATATATATATATCTTTTGTAAAATATGATTTCATTCTAGTTTCTTTATTTGTAATTTTTAATATTTTTTCTCAATATTTTACTTTTTATAATTTTTAATATTTTATCAACTAACATAATTAAAATAATCTTCATATAATTATAATTATTACCTATTTATATTATTTAATTAATATTATTATATTAACTATATATTATTTCATAAATATCATAAATAATGATTGCATATCATATTCATTTATCTAAAAATAAAAATAAAGATACAATAAAAATGTTTAAAATATAATTACTGTTACCAGGAGTTGTTGGTGTTGTCTGTCCAAGCAATTGATCCGAGTTAGCTGGAGATATAGGGATTCCTGCAGTCTCTTCATCTTCGTCTTCGCCATCGGTAGCCTCATCCAGCTCCATCTCCTCTTCACCTTCAAGACGCACTTCATCATCCATGACACCCTTCTCTCTCTTTACTTCTGTTTTTGCTTTAAAAAATTAAAAATTACATGTTATATAAAAATCCTGGGTAACCATTTAGTTTAGTACATCACTTCAAAATCGTTTGAATTATGCTCATTCTGTTTCCAATTGTAAGAGACAAAAGCATTGAGCTAATTAAAAGAACTTCGTCATACTCTGACCCTTGTCAAATTAAAATTCTAATTTGTATTGAATCCAAAACACAATATAAAAAACTAAAGGAATTTGATAATGCTTCGGTAACAAAATACTTCATTCTGCATAACCATTCAGAGTAGTGTATTTTGCTCCAGAACATTGATAGTAAAGTTTGAATAGACTATCAATTAAAGTGTAAACTTTTTTTCTCTTGAACACTAAAATTAAGGATAAGTACAATTATTTAACAATTATATATCCAGTTTGCAATAAAAAAAAATAAAATTTATATTCTAGAATAATTTCCCCCGCTCCTCACCCCTCATCCCTCTAGCTTGTCCAATAAAATCAGACTCGTCTAGACTTCACATCCGGGTGGAAAAAGCACGGGAAGTGAAGGAAAGCGTCGCGACGGCGACGAGGAGTAAGTTCGCCATTACTACGTAAACAGATTCTCGTCAGGGCGCGCCGCCGTTAGCCGTTCGCGTTGGCGGGGTCTCGCGGAACTCAGCGCTGAGTGCGGTCCACGTACCTGAGAATTAATACTGTCGATAAGGCGACGTGAATATCATGATGGAATCGAAGACGGACAGCTGGTTATCGTGATGAGGGCGGCACATCCAGGTAAACATGTTGCAGCAGCGCGAACGGTCCGTGGAAAAAAAAATGTCACATACACAGGTAAGCGAGCGCGGAATCCCCAGCACGAACGGAAGAGTACGCGACGCGAGACTAGCGCTCTAGAATCACGGAGAACGGATATGCGCGCGCAAGTCTGCCGCACGCGCGCCCCCACTAATTTAGATGAATACATATCTGATATCAGTGCGCGCGCCACATGTGAAACTTCCTATATCAATAATACTGTAATTGATGCTGAAGATTGTCGCAACAGCCAATTTTCAATTAAAATTTTTATATTTATTCCTGTTTCTAATAAACATTTCTTCCATTGTACTCACGGTCTTTATATTGTCGTTGTGCAGTTTTTTGTTGTCATATAGAATACATGTGCAACAACAACGTTAAGCTGGTTCTACATTTATAGTTGCATCGCCGCAAACATTGGCGATCCAGTTGAGATCCAATCAACATTAAGCTAGCTTGACGCTGATTGGATCACAACTGGATCACAACATTTGCGCGATGCAACTAATGTGGAACCAGCCTTTAGTGCGATTACGGCCAAATGAGAAGCGTGAAGCCCGTATCAGACTAAAGATTGAGATTAAGATTGGAATGGAATTTGACCAATTAAAACAAAGTTCACTAAATTTGAGGTTAGTTTTCTTTCTTCTAATTGGTTAAATTCCAATTCAATCTCAATCTCAACTTTAGTCTGATACGGGCTTGAGAGAGCGACCATGCCGGCCTTTCGGATGGAATCGGCGATCTCTCCCGTACACTAGCGCCGCACGTCCACGTTTTCAAAAGAGGAACTACGTACCACGTCTTATAACATTGTCGATCAAATTATTTATTAGTGGCATGTGAACGTGGACGTGGTTCGTGTCCGTGCTAATCGTGGCACAGCCGCATATCCTTCACCTACAATTTGTGGATGTAGTATAGACATGAATTGGAATGCCTGTTCATCGACAATGTCGCAAAATAAACGTGATCTATCATATAGTATATTTTATTTATTCATAATTTGTGCACGTAGTACGATTAGCACGGACATGAACTACATCCACGTTCTCATGCTATGATTTGATCGACAATGTTATAAGATAGACGTTGTACGTATAGTTCCTTTTTTGAAAACGTGGACGTGTAGCGCTAGTGTACGGGAGAGATCGCCGGTCCCACTCCCAAAAGGCCGGCGTGACCGCTCTCACGCTTCTCTCTGCCCGTACTGCGTACCTACCTCTCTGGTAACTGGTTACGCATTTCATGTGCTCCCGGCCTTCGTATCTATATTATCACATCGCGCGGCATTGTCCGACGTTAATCGAGACGTTAACCAATGTCGCGACGTGGAATCAATTTTCAGTAAATATAAACTTATTTATATGTTACATAGGCTTATAAATCATACGTGCAAAAGTCGATCATTATTAAAGCTATATATATATTATCCACGTTGCTAGAATTCAATTCAATTCTTAATTCGTCTATTTAAGAAGTTATTTTAATGTTATATAAATATAAATGTAGACCTAAGATTTATAATACATATTGTATGCATTTATAATATGCGAACGATTAATATATCCCACATGTACGTCATGTAAAAATTATAAACTCTACTTTAAATCATACATTATAAAAAAAATATCACCGCTATATATTTTAAAAGCTTTTAAACAAGTACAATTTCTGCACTTGAAATAAATATGTATAATAATGTATTAAATATTAAATTATTGGAAAAAAATGGAAGGAAAAAATTTTACGAATATAATTATAATGATGCAGAATTTCGAGATAAATTATATCAATCAATCGAATCTCATGTACATTATGTTTTATTATATATATACCTAAACAATAACATAATCTTTTTTATCACAATTTGATAAATTCAAATTAAATATATTAGGTTGAATGGAAAGTTGGTTCCGTTAATTTTTTGTATTTATAATACTATATATATATATAATGCGCGCGCTATCTTCTTAGCAAAAAAAAAAAACGGAACGAAATTAATTAATTGACACGGAACTTTCTGTTCAACCTAATAATATATTATATAATTATCAATTATTTTACGATGGTTTTCATGAAAACTAAATCACATATGTAATTAATAAGTAATATATATATGTCTAATTTCTGACATAATTAATTTATGATATAAATCGCATAAATTTATATTTTACATTTTAAATATTATTTATCACCTATTTATTGACATATATTATAATTTAAACTCAATATCATTAATAACATAAAAATACAACATGTACATACTGCATATATATACATATAGAAATAATAAATTATAAATTAATATTAAAAAATAAAAATTAATCTATTTTTATTTAAAATGTGCTCTATTTATAAATTCTATTTTGAATCTATTTTGAAATAACTTAACGAAACAAAAGTATCCGAAGTTCTTCTGTTGCTTCTTAGATCATGAATAAAAGTTGACACGCGTCCCGACCCGTTGATAAGCACTTGAGCAGCAGGAGATACGGTAATGTCTCGTGCAGCCTAATCACTCCTGCGGCACTAGTACTTAGGAACAGGACAGGACTTAATTTTTCCTTTCCCATTGAAGCTTCAAAGATCACAATTCTGCAAATAAAATATAAGATACAATAGAAGTTAAAACAAGAAATTAAGAAGTTAAAGTTTAAGATTTATAATTATTGTTATAATTTTTAATTATGATTGATTAAAGAAAAGATTAATTTTATTTTCCTATCGAGTTTTTAAAAACCATTATTTGAGGTTTCCTGTAAATAAAATATACACACGCATAAATATTATGTAATATATAATAAAAAAATAAAACATAAATTTTAGTGATCTGTAGTTAATGAAGAATAAGACAAATTTTGAATATTTTATCTTTTTAACTATAAAATTTGCTATAATAGATCTTTCTGTAACATACATTATATACGAAATGTTCTACTGTCACTACATCTATCATTAACCGTTCATGCGATAATAATGGAGAAAAATTTTACAGACTTATTTCGTGAAATAATAAAAAGAACATGTGTCATACATGCAATATCTGTGAATTACTGAGTTCCTCCACCAATTATCTAATCTCACCGGTATTACCGGCAATATGGACTTATTAAGATTAATTAAGATTGTCTCTTTCTTTGTCTCATCTTCCTTCTCTGATAGTCTCCTTCCTTCTCTGGTTCACTCTTTATTTTTTTGTTTTTTTTCTCCCTCTTCTTTTGTTTAGCATATTTTGCATGGGGAGGACGGGGGAGAAATAGAAAGAAAAAAAGGAAGAGAGAAAGAGAGAAAAGAAGAAAAATTATTTCTTCTTATGTATAAATTGAAGATTATAAAAATTAATTGTAGAAAATTCATAATATCATTTTTGTCACAAAATGTATATAAATGTTATAATAATGTAGTAATAATAAATAGTATATTTAAAGGACAGGAATTATAAAAATAATTGTAAGATACTTAAATTTAAGTTGAAAATTTGATCTCTCACCATATCTTCGTTGAAGGAAAATCTGCAAAATTATTTAAAAACTCGTTAGCAGTTGTTATCAGCTGAACACCCGGTATACAGTGATGATGCAACGACAGACGTACTCTATTAAAACAACCTCGAGAAATCATTAAAGTCGCCCACTGTATTCTCCTTTCCTTCCCAATAGTATATTCCTTCCTTCTTTCATCCTCATTCTCTCAGAATTACTGGAATACATTTCAGTTTTCTTATTTAATTTTTTTACCTTCATATTATTAAAAATAATATAATAAACGCATATAAATAATATAATATAATAACATTATTTCATAACGACATATTAAATAATTTTTATAAACAATAATAAAATGTTTTTTAATAAAAAATAAAATTATATAAGATATCTAAATTATACATTTCGTATACATTAGTGTAATAATATACATGTATGTATATCTTATATTTATTTATTCATACATATTTTATATGCATACGTGCATGTGTGTGTCCTGAAAAGTTACATACATTTTTCAGATGTTTTTCAAATGCTCTTACAATGTGGAAAAGTGAAATTACAAAGCTCATATTATTACGAAGATGAAAGAGTAAAGAAGTCAGGGTACAATTGAATCTTTGATTTCGCTGCGTTCTGTGTTTGGTGAGTATGTTTCTCTTTTTATCAAACATCCTATTCATCATTCATAGCCTAGTTAGGAATCGCTTTGGCATCAATATTGCATAAGATGCAATAATGTGAAAATGCAAATATATAAATTAAGAAATAATTATGCTTAATATATGATGAAAAATAAGTAACTAGAAATAAATAAATAAATAACAAATTATATATATAATAGAATATATGTATAAAGAGTTAGTGAAAACAATGCGTTAATAATGCATGCCGTGTTGCTTATTATTTTTTAACGTCGCTCGGATTAAATTTTAATCGTTTGCCAAAGAGGATTAGAGAAACTACCATTGCAGATTCAGCTGCAACATCTACGTATCAATACATATACACAGATTGGTATAATAACTGTTATCACTTCCGAAAAAAAAAAGAATACAAAATTGAAAATATCAGGCAGAAAGAATATTAAAAAACGCTAAACAAGATTAAAATTATTTTTCTTAAGATTAACTTGTCTTTTATTTAACTAAAATTTAATCTGATTTTAATGACATGTAATTCTATTAGTATTAGTATTTAGAAAAATAATATTGTTTTACTAATTTTTTGTTTAATTGTTTATTCGATAAAGAGTTTCAAACGTATTCAAATTTATTCAATAATAATAATACACCCTGTAGACAGTTGACTTTTTTGGTGTTGACGGTTGCAAAGACACGAAAAAACCAGAGACGACGAAAAAAAGCTGACTCGCCATGGGATAAAACAAGATAGAGTAAAAGGGTTGGAGTCAATTAACGTTAATTTCTGCTAATGTCGATGGCTTCTCTTGATGTTCGTCAAACGCTGCACGTCCCCCTTTTAATTTGAAAATAACTCATTTCTGCGAGAACATATGTATTGATGTTTAAACATGTTCGAGAGATAACAGAAACATAAAAAAAAGATGAAACCTACCATTATGCAGAGTAAAATAATGATGATAATAATGATGTGATATATTAAAAAAATAAGGAAATAGCTATTTTATTAATTAATAAGTCAATTAATTTAACTATTTACGTAGTAGTTTTAATTTATGAAATCTCCTAAACTTGTCAATTTCTTAATTAACTTCTATTATTAATTCTAATAAATACTATTACCTTTGTACATTCCTGGAACGTTTATTCTTTCTCAAAAAGTAATGTTTCTAATATAATTAGATCAGTTACGTTAGAATTAAATTTCTTCTTTATAAATGTTATATAGTAATAATTTTATTTTGTATATTAATTTTTTATTCTCAATTTATTCATTCTTACTATTTTGATACGATCAAATGATACATATATATATCTGATAAATTACGCAAATGATTTGAATAATAATGATAGTAATAATAATTGCTTTATTAACAGTGGTACTGTTTATTAAAATAAAAGTAAAATAAAATTATTTAAAATAAATTTATTTATTAAATAAACTATTTAAAATTATTATCTTACAATTTATTTAATTGGCTCAGTATTGTTATTAATAATAAAACGAATTTATTTGTTCGTACTAACAAATGAGAAATTATTAATATTAGGCAATTTATTCAATTAACTTAATATTATAATACTTAAAAAAATTACTAAGTGTCAAGCAATTAATTTGATTGACTCAACATTAGTTAGACATTAGATAAAAGAATGTTTGTTTATTATAAACTTCTTCTCAAGTTGCTTTCTCACAGAATATATTATTGGTATTTTAACCCTAGTCGTATCTTTCCTCTCTTATATCCTATACACTATACTATCGTATGTGCGAGGTGAAGAAGTCATCGCGATAAAGAGCGAAGATCCATGAAGAAAGCAGAGCGTATTATATTTTCAGAATAATAACATATATCTTCTAATTTCAATACTTTATTTGAAATTGAAAATGAACGAAAAGAAAAAATATAGCATTCTCTATAAAATGTTTTAAAATAAATATTAATTACTTAACAATTTATTAATTCGTTAAGGGAAAATTAATTAAGGAAAAAGAAAGATCGATTACAAAAAAAGTAAAGAAAAATTAATTAAATATAAAAAAAGTATTTCACCTTAAAATTTGTCCAGCGACTAACTATAAAAGAGAATCCAGTAGAAGACATTTTAATAATAAAAATGAAAAAAATTGGTTTATTAAATTTTTATAAGGACATTAATTTGAATTTTCATAAAAAACTTAGCATCTCACATTTAATTAACAAAATTACTTTCCATATATATATATATATATGTATATATATATATAAATATTCCATATATATATATATTCCATATATATATATATTCCATATATATATTACATATATATATATATTCCATATATATATTCCACATATATATATATATTTCAAGAATTCTCACATTCTTGTCGGAACAATCACAGAAAATCGAAAATTGATTATAATTACCTTCAACTCCTTTATCGTATCATGCGCGTAAGCAACTAATTTTATGTTGTAATCAAAATTTTTTTGCTAATTCAGAGACAATATGCATTTATCTTTCTAATTATTTCCATTGTGTTTAAAATCTCTAATTAATAAAATTTTTATCGATCTCTCTGATTATTTCTATATTTTTTTACGTATAGATATGTATATATACATATATTCTATATTATATATATATTTTCTGTGATATTTTTTATTTTATGATATGCAGATAGATTTACAGATTATATTTTCTAATATAAATTTTTATAGTAATAAAAAATTTTGATAAATGAATAGATAAAAATTTGATAAATATTATCACATGATATATATATATAGAACACAATTAATATTATCATTCTTACAAAATTAATTTTGGATATAAAGATACTTAAATAGATATATGAGTCAATTTGATGCAAAGCTTTAAAAATTCAATAAAGAAATTACGATTAAATGCAGGACTTTATAATATTGCGAATAATGAAATTTTGTACAAATATATTGTACCAACTCTTTTTATAAGAAACCAACGAAACTCTTTTATCATTATAAACTAACGTAACCAACTCCTCACGTACATTCCTCACTCCATCATTCGTTCACTAAATGTGCTGAATCGCAGCTTTATTCTCGCGCGTGTTTTACAGTTCTACGCGAACAGAATAAAAAAAAAACTTCACTGACGAAGCACGCAGTGACTGAGCGCCGTGCACGCTTTATTAGCTTGATATAGTGGTGCACGCACGCACACAGCACAATTTGCCGCAACATGCACAGCGCAGCGACGCGACAACGACTGAGCGCTAAGTGCCGTTGATTGGCTTGATATAGTAGGACGCGCGAGCGCGCGGCGCAATTGGCTCCGCTGTGCGCGCGGGAAATGATTGGTCAATTTAATCCTAGAATGCGCGCCGCATTAAGCATTCAAACGGCGTTCAGTACCTATTAACCAACTGCTCGGTGACGAGAAAGGAGACATCCACAGCTACAGTTGATTTCTGATAGTGTTTTCTTTACCATCTTTTTCCATTATCCTTTCTGACAACAAAAATTTTCAGTTTTTGAATAAAAAAACCTCTTTCTTTCTTTTTTTATAAAATATTTGTACAAAACGTGATAAAATAGTAACGTACAATTGAACAGAAGCAAAAATTTAAGGAATGAAATAATTACTTAGGGGAAGAGAGAATGGCAAACAAAAATATGAGAATAATATAAAAGAATCATATATATTTCAATTTTTGTAAATATTAATTTAATTCACAAATGTTATATTTTAAATTTATATAAAATATCATTTATTATCTTGTAATTTAATTTAATTTTGTATGAGAAACTGTATTAAAACTTTTACATTTAAATTTTTTCTTAGATGCTTAAACATTCTTTTTAATGTTAGCTACGCCACTGTCTTTTCCCCACTTCCGTAGCTTCACTCTCCGTGCATTTTTTTCTCTCCCACTCGTTCTGAGTCAATTTACCAATTGAAATCAGTGTCGGTCGCGGCACTGAATAGTCTGCCAACCGACGGCGAATGATCTTGTCCCTCCTTTCCCCTTCATCTATTTAGAGGGAAACTGTTATCAAACTATTCACCGGTCCAGTAAGGTCCTCATTCAAATTCCGCGACGAGATTACGTGTTCTCGTGGCGAATTAAATCCCATTGATTGTCAAAACTAAAATAAAAAAAAGACATGAAAAACTCAAGAAGTTTAACTCAGGCATTAAAGGAGAAAGAACAAGTTAAGAATTAAAAAATTTTATTTACAAAATATTTAGTTTTTTTCTTATATATATAACTTTATTTAGTTGTAACTTAATTAATCACGTCGATTGTGCTTACTGACATGTAAAGTAATCGTGTCGAAGTGAGTTTTTTAAATTATCACCTACGGCACTACTACTTAGCATACAAATAAGCATACAAATAAATATCATTTGAATTAAGTCGAATGGGTTCGTTTTAATTATTTTTATTTTTTTTAAACTTTATCGATTCTATCGATTAATGTTGTCTTAAAATAATTTATTACATATTTACTTAATTATATTTATAATTAAGAAGAATGAAATCTATGTTACCAGAAACAGAAATTGATATTATATATTATTACATAAATCATGCATATTAATAGATGCAGTGTACGTTTTGTACGGAATATCGAAAATTAAATTGATATTATTTTAGTTGTTTTAAATTATTAGAGAGTATGTACATTTTTCAAAAAGGTATATTATAATGTGATTGACGGATGTGAAAAGGATAGTTAGATTTGTGAACGCACCAACGAGCGTTCTAATGATGCTTCGCCCATTGTTACGGTCACAAATCGAAATATCCTTATTGAATTTGCGGAAAATTCATATTGTTTCTCAAAAATCTGAAACAAAATTAGCATATATATATATATATATATAAGCGAGTAATTATATTTTTAAAGAAAAGTTTATACATGATGGTGACACACAAAATTCACGTGATAGAGAAATATGTAAAGTTAAAAATTTATAATTTTATGAAATTTAAATATTGATAGATAATTATCCAAATTTTATCTTTTAAAGAAAGAATCATATATAGAAACTTTAATTAATACACATGCTGTTACATTTTATGAAACGATAGCGATTTGACGACTGTGACTTTCCCATGCGGGTCTATTTTACCATAGTGAAGCGATATTACTACACAATGTCGCGATTATTTACTTTTTTCTCTTTCATTTGTCATCTTTCGAGCGGACATATGGATGAAATAATAGCATTTAAAAAAGGAATTAATTCGAGAAATTGTTAAAGCGATCAAAGTAAAAAAATCAAAGTATACTATATCGACTATTCTTAGAGATATCTAAAGTAAATTTTTAATAAAATCTATTTTCAACAGAATATTGTGCTTTTATATATATATTATATATATATATATATATATATTATGTTAAATATACTTTACGTAGATGATTCACGAAATTATAAGCTTATTCCAGCCTTTGATACGAACACTTCACATAACTATCAATTCACTTTGACACGTCGTAGGAGTACGATTGGTATCTATATATGGCAGCAGCTTCAGATGGAATGCCACGAGAAATTGCCAACAAGTTACACATGCACAGGTGTTTCTTAAGATATCACGTGTGCCTGCTGCCATATGTCTGTCTGTCTCTCTATCTTTGATATCATTTTATATTGGAGATCTCTCCTCAACGCATAAATTTAATTTCATATTTTCTTGTTCTCACAGAGAATATTCTTTTTCACTTATATTATACCTATATCATTAAATTATTATTATTATTATTATAGATTAATAGATCGATAAAATGTATGTTCATTAATTTTTTAAAATTTCTAAGATGATAAAATAAATAATATGATAGAAAAAAATTCAATAGTACGTTTTTCATAACAAAGGAACATTTTCCTAATTTTATTTTGGTTTAAGGTAATCTTTTTAAAGTTAAAAATTTTAAAAATATTTGTAGATATAGTATATGTATATGTTGTTTATTATGATAGATAATTGTCCTTTTTTTAAAGATTAGAATAATATTAAATGCATTATTCAATTAGTGCTTTTTTTTGCAAAAAACTCAGAATCAAAGTTTTACGGAGCCACGGTTTATCGAAAGCGATTCAGAGGAGCAAATGTTATTAAATTGAATAGAATGCGGTGCGTAGGCCCAGGCCGGATACTCGCCGAATGAATCTCATCCCAAGAGAGAGGAAGTCCGAATTAACTCGAGAGTAGCTACTGTCAAGGGGTTACAACCAAGTTCTCTCTGGTATCCCATACAAACGATAAAGTTATTGCGACCCTATTCTCTTGAATGATCAATAATATTTTGATAAATTATGGTACTGTAAAGATATTGTAATATTGTGTCAAATTATACTGTAAAATAAAAGATAATAAAAATAGAAAATTAAAATAAAATGATAAAGTTATATAAATAAAATAAGTAATAAAGAACAAGTAAAATAAAAATAAGAAAAACCATAAAATGTATTATAATATTATTATGTTACATGAAATATAATTTTAATTTTTAATTATAACGTATACTAAGTACAGAGTAATAAAAATAGGAGTTTCTTAAAAAAGAATTTAAAAGTGTGAGGAAACTAGGTAGAAAAATTTGAAAGTACAGAATGTGATAAAGAAGAATTAAGACTTATTAAAATCGTTTAACCCCCTGTGCTGTTTCTTACATCGTATACTACTCCTAATAGCTTTATACTTTAAATAAGATATAGGTGGGAATAATAAGAGAAAAGAAAGGAACAGCAAATCAGTTTCATATGTGGTAACTTATAATGCAATAAAAAAAAAGGGATAAAAAGTTTGGAGATTTTTTTATAAGAGATTTATTATATTTTAATAAATGCAACCGTAAACTTATTGTGGATATAAATTTAAGCCTTAATTCTTAACTGTGTTATTTTTACGATTTTATACATTACATAATAAATATATTAAAATAGTGTAGTCACTATAATTATCATTTCACATTTTTATGAATCACATATTGCATATATATATATATTACCATTTATTACATATTTCTCTACGCGATTGTACGAGATAAGTTGTAATTCACTATTTAACGTTTTTCACAAATAATTTCCACCACACTGGGCTCCATTAAAACAGGATCCAGACATCTATGTATTGCACTACCTAAAATCTCGTCCAGCAAAAAGTGAACCACACTATAAACAAAAACAAAAACATATATAAATAATATATACATACACAAATCATTAATTTTAATTTATAAAGTTAAATCAAAATCTTACTTTTCATCTGACACAAATTGCCATAAATAAAGTTGTAAATAATGAGTGTCCACTTGGATTTGTTGTAAACCATACTTGCTGAACGTTCGCAATCTTACGCATTCAAGGAAAGTCTGTATTACCAAAAAATATTAAAGAAAATTAATAAATATATGATCTAATGACTTCATATATGATCTAAGAACTTTTTTAAAATAACAATAATTTCTTTGTATAATATTTTATAACCCTTTATTTAAAAAAATTGTCAAATAAAAAAAATAATTATTGATTTAATTTTTATTCAACTAGATGTAAGTATGGCAAAAATATAAAACATATTGCGTAGTGAACGACGATAGAGTTGGAAGGATGAATCAACTTTATAAAGTGAATAATGACCGTGCTATTTTGTCATTGCGACTACTCTACACCTGAGCGATTATTACACCAGTACATTGCCTGCTAGAAGTATTATTTCGCACAAATTTTTAATGCTCTATATATTAAAAAATAATTTTAAAAATGATAAGTAATATTTAAATAACTAAAATAACAAATTAATACTGATCTAATTGATAACAAATATTGTAATAATTAATAAGTAAAAATTAAACTAAAATGAATAACAAAACAATACATTGAATTATATTAAATATTTTATTATTGCTATTATTATTAAAATAATATATTATTATTTTCACCTTCAAGCTTATTTTGATAATTCCTGTTAAAATAGATGCCTTGTTGAATTGTACAGAAGAAAATATTTCGATTCGTTCAGAAAACAATTTGTGAATATTCGTCACTAGAGAAGAATCGATGTGGCTAGGCGTATAGGATGACCAATTTGATCTGTAATGTTGCCGAGATATGCTAACACTAGAACAAATTTTTTTTATGTACTCCAAACCCAGTATTTAACGATCAAAGAATATAAAGAATTAAATATTACATATAGATTCCAAAGATTTATATTATCATATTTTATATTAAAGTCTTCCAAATAACATTTATATGAAAACTAGATGTAATAAATAAAAAAAATTGTTTAAATAAAAATCATTTACCTATGAGTCTTCCTACTACTGTCACTACTTCTATCGACCTGACCATCATCACCGTATAAAGCGGATACTTTGGCTTCAATGATCGTTACATCTTCAACAACTCTCTTCATAACAGCTCTCACGGTTCTAGGTTCAATTGTGTGCAACCAATCCCTGGTCTCTACGGATTTCCTTAACATTTGGGACACTGTTAATCCCTGAATTCGCACATAGTGATTCAATAAATTTTGAGCAGCTTCTTGAAAACGATCGCACATTTCTGATCCGGGAGTTACGATATTTTCTGAAGATGCATATTGATCGATTTTAAAAAGCTCGTCAATGGTTGTGAGCTGCAAAATGGATAAATTAAATATATTATTATATAGTATATATATATATATATCATAGTCATATATATTAATTTATTATATTAGTTCATTTATTATTTCAATGTGTTATAATAAAATATTTTTAAAAATCTGTTTATTTTTAAATACCAGATAACGGACGTTGCTCTCCTTATACTCGATGCACATTTTGCTAAGCAAAAGTAATAGGGTGGGCGGAAATTTGGGTATGTCAGATCCATTACAAAATCCAGCTACTGTGGCTGTGAGATGATGAAGAAAACCGATTACTAATCCTTCTCTCACTTCATCCACGCAAAAACTTTGCAAAAATTGTGTTTTTAAATTAAATGACAAGTCCGGCTGTAAAAATACCTAGAACAATTATAATCAACTTTAGTTGTTGTTCTTCACATTTGCTATTATTTAAGAAATGAAAGATTATGCAATACAATTGTCAAAAAAAGAATTTTATATATCACAAAAGAAATTGTAAACAGAATAAAAAATTGAAAAAGGGATTCAATTGGAGTACAAACCAATAAATCCTGTAAAACTCCTTTAACTTTTTCTATGGTGGGCATTATAAGCATAGCTTGAAGTTCCGTTAAGCTTCCTTCGCCTTCCTGAGTAGCCAAAGTCTGCCTTACTTTTGCTAAAATCTCATTCAAGTGTTGCTTCAGACTATGCAAATGGTTGCGACATTGTTTTCGACCAGCGTTTACGACAAGATCAGTGCCAATTCTGTAAAATGATTAAATTAATTTATTATATTTTGTTTGTATTATTTATTCATATATATTTACATTCCAAATTATTTTTACATTTCATTTAATATATCTATTTTTTTTATTACCTGGCAAAGTCTGTTTCCTTGGACAACATATTCATCGCTTGTAACTTGCGATAAAATCTGTCAAGAGCTCTTACTAAAATTGCCGTGTCAGCTACATCCTCCACTCTTTTGCTCATTAAATCAAAATATTTTTTCATATTACTCACAATAAACTTATTTAAATGATCCACAGCTTTTATTTCAAAGTCATCAACTAATTCACTGTCGTTCAATGATCGATTTATGAACATGTCATTGTAGGAAGTTACAATCAGGCATAAATCACTAAGAAAGCCCGTAGAAGCCATGTCTACGAATTCTATAATGTCGTTTTCGCACATATCTTTCAAAATATCTAACTGTTCGGTTAATCTTCCTTCAGCGTGTATCAAGAATTCAGTGCATAATGAATCAGCTGGTTCCTTTAATTGTAGCAGAAGCTCTATATTTTCAGCTAAAGCCTTAGTAGAAGCGTCTCTCTTATGAAATTGTAATCTGAGTTTAGATTTCAGTTCTTCCAAAATGTCCTCGCAGTCTTTCTGAATGCCTTGGAAGGATGGCATATTGCTATATTGATTTAAAACTTTTTGTGCATGAACATAATCTTGAACTGCCTGAAAAGTAATTGCTTATTGAAAATTTGAAAATTAAGAATTAAAGATTTTATTATGTTACATACATACATACATACATACATACATGACATGTTTACATATAAAAAAAAGTGTAATACGTACGTCTGTATATTTTTCTTCGTTTATTTTGTCCTTAAGATTGCCAGGTAGCTTAAAAAGAAACTGCAATTTTTTCAACAGAGTGTGTACAGAGGACAGTTTAGCAATTTGTTGTCTAGTTCCATGTAAAGTTGAAGAGATCTGCTCTGAAAAGGAAGTGATGCTTTCCATATTCTTTGCTAAGAGATCCATGTTATCCTCCATTTCCTTGAAATCAGTCTTCATCTAAAATGTATTTCAAAAATTAAAAATAAATCTAATAATTTTTTAAAAGGCGACTTACCTTGCGTATAGTGTCGGTAGCAGATATGAACTTATTATAATTTTCGTACACCAAAGTTTGCATGTCTGAATGTAAAGCTTGAGTGTTTTTTATGATCTCTGCTTCATGATCCATAATTTGCTTTAATGTACACTCCTGAAAAATAACTCAAAGTGTAAACAGCATCTTATTTTATTATATAAAATACAAGATGTTTTCTTTTAAACATGTATAATAACAATTTTATTATAGAAAAATTTTAAAAGTAACAAATAAAAAGAGATGGAATAAAAACGGCTAATTAGAACTTACTCGAATTAACTTACCTTCAATAGCTTTTGGAAATACATATCAGAATTGAAATGTTGCCCATTTATATCGTAAGGATTATTAGTATTCTCTGTCATCTTGTCAATCTTTCTCTTTAATTAATAAGATAAATCTCTCTTCTTGACTTCTTAAATCCTTAATCTGTCAGACTTTATGTAATAAAAAACAATAAGAAGGCATTAGATTTAAACAAAGTTTTGTCCTCCAAAGTGGAGATTGGACAAAGGACTTATAATCTTTTCCCATAGAAATTATAATTGCAAAAGGATATCCAAGAAGTTTTTTTTTTAATCATGTGCCATTGAAGAAAAATATGTAATTGTTCAGTTAGGGATCTCATCTCCAATACTGATAAAATTATGCTTTTTTAACCCGTCTAAATTGAATAATTAGCAAAAATATAATCAATTATCTGTAATTGTACAGTGCTCTATTGTCACGGCGCAATTTTTTAAATAAAATACCTTTAGTTACCAGATTGTGTGTATATTTTCCAAGATATAATATTAATTTTATTAAATTTATATGTATGTATACTTACGTATGTTTTTCACTCTCTTATATTATTTTTTCTCATTAACGTATTAATAAGTGTCGGCAGCTACCAAACTGTAACATTTGCAGGTTAACTCTAGATCTCCAGATTGCTCCAGATTATGCCGTATTGCCGTGTCTAAATGCTGCGCTGCGCAAAGTAACATAACCCAACATAACCTTACTTCATCGTATAAACGAAAATTACGAAGGCGCAACAAGTGCACGAAACTTATTAAATAAATTTGCAATATCCTTCTAATAATATCGATTTTTCCGAATTTTAGTCTTTAGAAATAAAGACTTTGAAGTGCTCTCTCAATTTTAATTTTCGTCACATAAAAGAGAGTTTGATTAAAAAGGTGAGGCTAAATGATCATACGTTTTCCATAAACATTTTACTAATTTTGAAATTGTGGCAAAATATAGGAATAAATACTACAAATATCGTGAAATTGTGGGAGAAGCAATACAATTGACTTTAAATCAAACTCGATCTCGTTGCTCAAGCTTAATATCGCTTTTATTAATCAAATTTAAAAAATTTTCCGTACTTAACCTCTTTAGAATCCAATAAGAAAGAGCAAAGAATAATTAACTTTAAAGTGTAGCACAGTTTAAAGTAGAGCATAAACCGATATCTTTAATCTCGTCTTTTCTTTTATTTATTTAATTATAAACATCTTTAACATAATTTGAATTTTCAGGTACAACGATAGGATATTTTGAAGACTTGAGCCAAGTAAGAGTTCTGTCTTAAAATTCAGAAGTTAATTTCTGCAAATTTTACTGCAAACTCCAAAGAGGAAGAACTTCTTCGAAAAGAAAATCTTCAATCAGAAAGTATTCGATTGTAAATTATGAGAAAGACTTTTAATTTGAAATTTTTTTGATTTTTGAGAATAATTCTACTTGTGTTGCAAGAGAAAAAAATTTGATAGCCATTTAACAGTTTCAAACTTCGAGAAGGAAGGATTTGAAGACTTAATCTTTGACAATTCAACTGTAAGTGAGGAAAGAGATTTACTTTGAAATCGACTTTACCTGTAACCTATGGATAGAAACGTTTTGAGAATTTCTTTATATTTGTGGGCCGTTACTTCAACTATGAAGAGAAAGGATCGAAAAACCATATTTTCAAGCTAAAACTTAAATGAGAATGAAAGATTTAAGAGCCAATCTTTCAGATTTATAACTTCAATTTTAAACAAATCAGATTTATTTGCTTTTAAGAATTATTATATTCCAATCATGCCACATCCTTGCGTTGTTTGTGGCCGTTCACGCATGAATCCCAACAATCGCGAGGAAGAGTATATGTTTTTCGGCTTTCCAGTGAACGATGAAGCTCGTTGTTGTCGTTGGTTAGAGTTCTGCGGTCGTGAGGACCTCTACAAACTTACAAAAAAGCAGCTTCTTCAGCGTATGGTCTGCTCGAAGCATTTCCGACCCCAAGATTTCGTTAATGAATACACGGACCGTTTAAATTTCACCGCAGTTCCGTCGGTTTACGATCCTAAGCAGAGTTTATACAATATAACATGTGTTCTTTGTCGAAGAACACGAAGGGATCCACCTGCAGCGGATTATGATGGAACGACCTTTCACCACTTTCCTGGAGAAGAATTCCGCTGCCTCAAATGGTTGGACTTTGTTGGAGTCGACTCTTATTACAGGCTAACAAGAAAGGAAATTCTTTACTGCTATATCTGTTCCAAACATTTCGATCGTTCCCAATTTGTCCCAGAATACAAGGGAAGATTAATGGAGAATGCAGTTCCGAATATTCGTGATCCAGATCAATTGAGCCAAGCGGAACTATCTATTACTGAGTTGCCGACTAAACCAAAGCTTTTCAGTTCTCCAGATAAGTGTAAAAAGTTGGAGCCACTGCCTGTTAAAATATTGGAAAGCCAAGCTTGTGCAGCTTGTGGTCGGTTAAGATCGGATCCGAGGAATAAGATTGAACGTTACAAATTCCATCCATTCCCGGCATACGAAATAGGCCGATGTTTGCGTTGGTGTCAATTCTTGGGCCGGGAAGATTTACTCAAAATGTCGCCTAATCAAATACGCAAACTCGTACTTTGTTCGAAACATTTTCAGACCGGCCAAAGCTTCCATAAAGTTGGTCCATGCGATGCGGTACCCACGATTAAGGACGTTTCTGAATCTGAAAATATTATAGAGCAAAATGAAGAGGATCAGGATCTCGGAGAAGATAGCAAAGACCCTTCCAAGGGTCTTAAACGTCGCAGGCCACTGGTGTCCAGCAAGAAACCCAAAATCGACAACAAACCTACGCCATTGGCAAAGAAACGAGGAAAATCCAGGAGACCTACTTCCATTAATATTCCTAGGCTTCTTCCCAATAATTTGGAGAATCAAATGATCAGAAAATTACCTCTTCCGTCTACAACCAATTGGAAGATCCAGTTAGGAGATCAATTGCAGCCGATTACAATTAATAATATCTCTTCGAATGTGACTAATCAGGCAAATTTTAAGAAGATTATAATGCCATTTACTGGCGATTTAGCAAGTCTTGGTACTCCGATACCAGTTGAAAGTTTATCAAGTATTCCTCCGGGGCTGCTGATCAAAATAAATTTGCCAGAACAAGAACAACAGCAACCGCAACAACAGCAGAAATTATCAAAAGTGAAGAAGCAAAACAAGAAGGTGACAAATAATTCAAATGAACAAATTCGGGAAAAAAATAATGGCCAAAAAATAACTCCTGTTAGTATAGTGCATGATACGAAACAAATTAAAAATATAACAGAACTTATATCAATGTCTTCAGAACCTGTAATTGAGACTTTAAATACTAATAAAATAGAAATGCAGGACGAAGTGATTTCGAACTCCTTGAAGATTATAAATGTTCAAGGTGGAGTACAGGTCAGTGTAGAACAAAAAAATATTTTTGTGTTTGTTATTAATAACGATTACGAATATACATTTCCAAATATATTTTGGAAGAACAATTATTTGTAATTATTTACAATTTCGTGATTTTAATTTTTGTAAGTAAAATATTATAATGTAAAACAATTAAGTTTATATACATACACAACGTCGTTTTCTTGTACATTAAATATAAGAAATATCTACATAATTCTGATAAAATAACGATTAATTGAAAAATATTGAAGTGATTAATAATTAACGAATAAATAAATGAAAAATAGTATTGCATTTATATTAACGAATAATAATTTGTTTTAATAACTCTTAACACTGATGCAGGTAAAGGAAGAGTGTTTCGAGAGGTCGGAGGAGAAAAAAATTCCAAAGAAGAAGGTAAAGCGACAGAAGAAAATCACGAGGACCATGAAAAGAACTATGTTTCCTATCAAGAATGAGATTAAATATTTCTTGAAAAAAATGACACCGCTAATGCGTCGGCTACCGACACAAGCTAGGGCGACAATGAAATTATCAATCGTTAACATGGTAATTGATCAACTCTGAAATTATAAATATGTATTCTAAAATCAAGAAGCATATATTTTGAAATTAATTTTTCATAATTTTACTGATCAAAAAACGAAATCTATAAATAATATTGTTGGAATTTACATTTTTTCGAAAACAAATATCTAATACATTTTCTTAATGAGATAAGTTCTTTAATTAGTTGTTGTCATATTTGATAACATTCAAGAATCTTCTAAAAAGAACCCCGTACAAAAAAAACAAGGATTTTTAGCTCTCGATGAAATTAGCTGAAACTGTAATGTTATAGTTTTTTTAAAGGAATTAGGGCTCCTAAGAATAAATCTAAGATATCGAAGTAGTAGCCAAATGTGAATTGATACAGATGTGGATGTATAATAATTTTTATTATTACAATATCTAACCACATACGAATTGTGCGTCGCAATTTTGTCGGTTTGAAACATGAATCCAATAGATTCGTAGCAAATATATATATATATATATATATATATAATCGAATTCGTAGCAAAGAAAACTAATCATTTTCAAGTTTGTACCTCAGAAAACTTTTGATCAGTGAGCCAAGATCTATAACGTACTACAGTTTCAGCCAATTTCATCGAAGATCAAAAACCCTTGATTTTGTGCGGAGTCCTTTATTTATTTATTTGAACAACGTAAGCGATTGAAAATACCGCAAAATAACTTTCG